GAAATGGGACTACTGTCAGATACCCGACTGTGGTATGTAAACAATATTTTTGTGTACAATATAACAGCAAGATTGTAACTACTAAACCTATGTGTTCCGACCCATGACAACATCAGTTGTCCAGAGTAACATATCAAGAATAATATTGGATAGATTGCCAATGGATGCCAAATTGTTGTCCTCCTTGTGTTGTTGACTGTAAACTCTCTCTTTGCAGCTGGAATGAATTGCGGGACGCCGGTCATCAAACCGAAGCGTTGTTTTGGTCGGATCGTGGGCGGCTGCGTATCCAAAGCTCACTCCTGGCCGTGGCAGATCAGCCTCCGCACCAGGTGAGTCAAACCAAAACTGAAGTATTATTCAAAGTGATGTACGACATTTGTCAGAATATGATAAACATTGGCTCATATGACAGCCTGATGCGCCCGTGAAGATGGCCGCATTGTCTTGCTCTCTCCAACTAAGACTGTTAAACAACCGAACTGCTGAAACAATTCCAGAACATTCATCTGCTACTTAGTAATAACTTGTATGTAGACTCGTATTGCACTATTCCACTTTTTTTTAAACTATTTTTCTTTTTGTTTTACTTTTAATATAGTATACTTTAATATTGTTTTAATATTGTCTGCTTATCTGTATTATTGTGTTGCATTGTTGGAGAAGCCTGTGACCTAAGATTTTCAACGACATAATTACTCTGTAGCTATGTTAGTTCAATAAAGAACCTTGAACCTTGAGCTTGTGTAAAAGGAGAAACCAGTCGTCTCTGGCTCATATAATTAAGTACACATTTATTTGTATTATATTTTGTGCTTTTTACTCAAAATGTCTGTAAAAATCCATGTATTTGTGTCCACAAACAAAATCGTATAGGGTTTAAGGTGTGTTATATTATCTGATATCAAAAAAGGCGATATTATATCTGTCTTTTTCCTACTTTAACACATTTCTGTATTTATTTATTTTCTACCAGCTCGGGAATTCATTTCTGTGGAGGAACGCTGGTCCACCCTCAGTGGGTTCTGACTGCTGCTCACTGCCTGGAGAGGTCAGAGAACATTAATTAAAACATATTTAAAGATTAAATCAGGGGTTTCCAGGGGCCATTTTTAATCGGCCCTCAGCTAATTCAAAAAGTATAATGACTTAAGTATAATAAACTTCAGCTTGTCTTATTAAATATATAGGTTGAAATATATTACAGTATTCATGTGTCAATAAGCCCGATTTTCAAATAAATTCAGTCAGAAAACATCTTTTAACAAATCTAAGTTGATAAGAAAAAGCCCAATAACTCAATTACATAACAACCTTGAAATAGACCCTTCATATTTCCTCTTATGATAATCAATCTGAGGTTTCTGTTTTAAGGAATGAGCTGCCAACAAAATAAACCCTACAGAGAGCTGGGATGTAGGCTGTTTTTTTATAACAGCATTTTCAAGTGTCAAGAATAATTTACCTACATTGGATTGATTAAGCTAATTTATAACTGAACTTATGAGGCGATATATGTACCTCGAGTGAGAGGCCCAGCTCTTCGTATATTTTTCTGTGTGTGGCCCTAGGTGAAACAAGTTTGGACACCCCTGGACTAAATCCTTCAACCCCACAATGATTGGTTTACTGAATGTTTTCAATGTGTTGTTCAGGTCAAAGCGCCCTTCAGCCTATAAGGTGCTGCTGGGCGTTCACACAGAGCGAGCCAACGAGGCGTCCAAACAGGACCGGAACCTGGAGAAACTGGTCCTCGGACCCAACAGAGCGGACATCGCTCTGTTGAAGCTGCAGACGTGAGTCTATCCTCGTAATAATGAATCATACTAGTTATAGCATTACTTAGGAGTTAATTTACTCAAATGTGGTGTTTAACATACATTATATCATTTAACTCGTGATTTCAACCAAAGCCACTTACAGAAAAAGTGGAATAAAGCATAATCATACAAACTCAGATTATCAAGTGCAATATCTTTAAATAATCCAAACCTTTTTGAGGTCTTTATACAGAAATGAGAAGCTATTTTTATGATATTGGCCAAACCCTAACCCATATGTTTTCTGAGATGTGTTTTCTGTGTTTGAATATATTTCCAAAACTGAAATCTGAACATTGGTTGAAGCTAGGTTCAACATCTTTGTTTGTTTCTATTAAAATTAATTGTTTTGCAGAGTGAATATATTTTCTATCCGTCCATCAATCAGAAAATATTGTTAATTAAACTTTATCTGAACCAACCCCTCATTAAAAACCTTCAGAATATATATAGAAATGAAACAGATAAGTCTGATTTATTTAAGTGCTACTATAGGAGAGATTTCTGACTCACAGTATAAATAAAGAAAACAATGAATTTAGGAAAACCTTTAAAGGTATACATATATCGTGCAAAGTACTACAACGTTGTTGTTGTTATAAGCTCCCCCTTTACCAGCTATGGCAATAATACACATTGATGCTTAATAATGACATTATTCCGTAGTGGACCGTACTGCATGATGACTATATTTTCTACTTGTTACACCGTAGTATTGCTATGTTTCACTTCTTCCTCCTGTGCTGTTGTGTGATTTCAGGCCTGCAATAATAAATGACAAAGTGCTGCCGGTGTGTCTGCCAGAGAAGGACTTTGTCGTTCCCAGTGGAACCGAGTGCTATGTGACCGGATGGGGAGAAACTCAAGGTACTGCTAAAGTGTATTTAAACGTTTTTATGCTGTGATGTCTTTTTATTAGAAAATAAGGTGTTTGTAAAGAGAGGGAAGTTTTGGTTGACCGGAGGCCTGTACTACGAAGCCGGCTCAACCTAACCTGGATATGTTTGAGTTAGCCGGTTGGCCTAATCCAAAACATACGCGCTCTCACTAAACTGTACTACGACGCTGGTTATCAAGTGGATCGCTCAAGCCAGCCGTGTCCTATAGGTGCGCGTTCACATGAAAGGGGTGGTATCTGGAGCATTCGACCAATCACAAACATGGAGAAGCGTACTGACAGCGCAGCGTCATACTTCCTGAATGAAAAGTAAACTATAATATTAGACATAAGAAGAAGTTAAACTTTAAACATCCATGACTTAAACACTTTATCCAGGATCAAAGCCACATAGCTGCACCTGCAAGGTGAACACAGCTGGGAACAGAACAAGTGTTTGAATGCGTACATTAACAGGTTTATGATATCACTGCCCCGTCTAAGACACGATCTGACTTTCATTACATTTGTCTCGAGTGTTTCGTCAACTTAATGTGTTGCTTAAAATAATACTTCTGCATACAGTATGTGACACTGTGAGTGTTGCACGGCCAGATACGGCTCAGCTGACTCAGATAAGGAGATATATGATACATTATGAAGTGATATGCCGCAGACTGTACTTAATGTTACTCTGATCCGGTTACTTATGTTGTGGCAGATATTTAAGTAAGCTTTCTTAACGCTAATGTTATAATAGTCAGATTGCTCTGAAGATGGGAGGTGATATTCTATTAATGTTCACGTTCACACAGTCGGTGATTTTTGCCGGCCGTCTTTCCTGCGACGGCAGCTTTTCTGTATTTCCTTTCTCCTGTAATATGACTTGGTCGCTTTAAACTCCGCACACTGAGCTCTGATTGGTCAGCAGGCGGTGCTTTCACTGAGTTGAGCTCTTAGCCTGCAACCTAACCTGGTCCCGACCAGGTTAGCCGCTAAGCATAAGTTACCATGGAGATCTAGCCTGCTAAAAAGAGAACCAGCGTCGTAGGACCGGAAACTCAGTTTTCCCTGAAGTTAGCCGCTAAGCGAAAATCCTGCTTCGTAGTACAGGCCTCTGGAGTGAATGTTTAATGTAAATAAGGTCCTTACTATAGTAAAAAAAAAATGATACTTTTATTGCCTTAAGTCTAAAATAAATAAGAGAAAATGCTCCAAAAATTAAAGTAAAAGTTCCAGTGATTCTCTCCAAGTTTGCTCTTCAGATTATTTAATACAAAGACTGATATCCACATTTTTTGAAGGAAATTATGCCAAAGTTGTTATCAGACAAACTATAGAGTGGCTAACTGTGTGTGTGTGTGTGTGTGTGTGTGTGTGTGTGTGTGTGTGTGTGTGTTTCAGGGACGGGGGGTGAGGGCGTTCTGAAGGAAACGGGTTTCCCTGTGATCGAGAATAAGATCTGTAACCGTCCCTCGTACCTGAACGGTCGAGTCAAAGATCACGAGATGTGTGCCGGAAACATCGAGGGGGGGAATGACAGCTGCCAGGTATGATTGAAAAACCAAAAAAAGCACATGATTTAAATGATTTTAAATCCTGCGTTTTATGATTTAAAAAAAATCTGCATAGAAATCAATTTAGTGTTGTCTTTTTAATAATGTTATACAGTTGTGTTAATTTACAAGAAAATAACTAAGATTTAAAATGTAAATTTAAGTATTCTCTGAGATTAAATTGATATTCCCCCCCCCCCCCACCTGCAGGGTGACAGCGGCGGCCCCCTGGTGTGTCACTCTCAGAACCAGTACGTCCTGCAGGGCGTCACCTCCTGGGGTCTCGGCTGCGCCAACGCCATGAAGCCCGGCATCTACGCCCGAGTCTCCAAGTTTGTGGACTGGATCGACACAACCATCAAAGCCAACTAAAGAACATCCAGCAAATACTGAACAACAACAACAACAACAACAACAACAGCATCGGCCGCACAAAAAGTGACTTTTCATCGTGCTTTTTGAACATACTTTAACATGTTCGTACTGTTCTGCTCCAACAGAGTTTGTAGTCGGAGATTATCGATTTTAAAAGACGTGTTTTATTTCCTGTGGTGGAAAAATATAATAAGCAAAGGATAGGATGTGAAGCTGTGATTCTCTGTAAGAGTTGAACAATAAAACCTAATACAAAGGGAATTGTTAAATCATGGTTTATAGATAGTTAAATAAAACAAACTGTTCCTTTTTTTGGCATAATGTTAATAAATCTACACACACACATTCTCACACACACACACACACACACACACACACACACACACACACACACACACACACACACACACACACACACACACACACACACACACACACACACACACACACACACACACACACACACCACACACACACACACACACACACACAGCGTCAAACAGTTGTTGAGTCCTTGTTGTTTTCAGGTCGGATTTGAAAGGCTTCTTCAGTTGTTGGTTCTCCGCGACATCCGTCTTTTTCCTGGGAGTAAAAACACACAAATCATATTAAATTAAAAACAAAATAATAATTAATTGTTACATTTTGAATTAAGGATTTAAATGTTATAAAGTGAATCACTCATTCGGGTTGTATTACATTCAGATCATCTTTCTCACAATTATTGGACGAAAATCAATCATATACATGTAATCCCTCTTTAAATGTAATTTTTAAAATAGTTAAATTAATAAAATGACAACGATTATAAACATGTATTGCCAGCCGTTCAAAGTAACCTATTATATTTACAAAAAATGTACTTATATAGTATCAGTGGCGAGCCGTGACTTTTATACCTAGGCCCTAGGACCCCTCTGACCCCCCCCCCCCCCCCTTCCCTCGAGTTATTACGTCACAGCCATAGGTCACAGCGTATACTTCAGCGGAATATCAAAACAACGACCCGGGGTGCAAAACGCATAAATGAAAGCGACCCTCTACCACACAAAACAACACCTGTAGATAACCCTATTTGTGTTCTTTGAAATTGAAAAGGATATTGCATTGTGTTTGTTACTTTCGTTGCAGTTGTATGTCTTAAGTGTAATTTGGCATGCTTTTATTTTGAAGGCGAGTTAACGCTGTTGACAGGAAGTTGTTGTTGCTATGGAAACAAGAAAAGATTCACAGCGGGCGGATCTTGTCATAAAGTCCGCGATAATAACACCCACCCATTTAGATGGAAGATATGATTGGTCAATTGTACTGTCATTTGACATTACTCTCTCGTTCAGTTACTATAGCGGGCCCTCTGTGAATTCATAGCTGGACGGCCAATCAGCTCCTCTCTTCACACTCGCAGAGACGAGCTTATTTCATTTAACCCTTCACATTCCAACAGAAACTGAATAGGCAGATTCGAAGGATTTATTTATTTGGAAATGTTATTTTAAATACAATTAAATCAAGTTATTTTGGTAAAACTAATGAAAAATATAACTAAAACAATATATAAAAATATATATATTTTTTTTTAATGTTTTTAAATATTATTTTTGTAGAATATCTTAGGCCCTCACAGAGGACCTAGAGGGCCCTGACGGCTCGCCACTGTATAGTATAATGAGGTATTTTTATTTTCTGTAACTTCTGCTCTACCTTTAGAGACAGAAATAATCACTTTTTTTACACATTAAACATGGTCAGTTAAAATGACCTACTGCTATAACTCTGACAACGCAACACAAACTAGTTGTTATTAGTCGCTCTCTAAGCTAGTGCATCATCGTCTAAAAGCATAACAATGTTTAATAAAAGATGTATCACTTGTTAGGAAACTCAATGTCGTCGATGGTCTCGGGGAGAGGAACTCCTTTAGTTTCAGGAAGCAGCAACACCAATCCTCCAGCTATGAAGGCAACCACTCCTGTTGGATAGAAAACACTGAATCTGTTACACATTAAAACAAATATATCTACAAGCTATTTTCAGGAATATCTGGTGGTTTTATCTCAATGTGTCGCACTGCAACAGGAAAGAGGGTCAAACAGACTTTTTAAGATGCTAACGATTTGCCAACTAATAAGCCAACTGCAATAATTTCGGAGCTAATGAGATGTATTTATAAAGGTTCTTGTTTAAATGAAGATTTACAAATTGGGTGCATTGATAGCAGCAGGGAATGCACAAGATTGACATTTAAATGACACTTGCTTCACACTAATTATTGAAAACACATCCCCCAAATTAGGAATGTTAAGCAAAGAAACCAAATAATTAACTTAGCGAACATAGAATCAGGCTTGGGTGTATTTCATCTGCTCGATTGTTATGCTCCTATAATCTCACTAAATGCCATGTTTAGTTCACGATGAAGCAGAACCAAGCTAAAAAGAGCTGAAAGTATATTTCACCTCTTAAGTAAGGCTTCTCGGATCCATAACACCTTAAAGAGCCTGTGACAGCATCCCAACAACTATTGTGCAATGAAATATTGGGCTACTAGTAATCTCGAACCGTCAGTTTAAAAAAGAAAAAGCGATACCGTTCCGTTAAATATCAATAATTTCGAACATCGCTGGGAAATTCCTTCGACTCATTTTGAAGTTTTGGGGGAAGCCGGAAGTGACGTCAATGCGGGAACGCTTCACTGTGCGGCGAGAGAGCCAAACACGGACAAAGTGTGTTGTCATGCGTAGAAATGGTGAATTACTGAGTTTAGGCACGTTAATAACGTTTTAATGAAGTTGACTACAGTATATTCATATTGTCAGTGCTTTCATGTCAATTCGGCGAACATAAACATAAATGATCGTGGTGAAGATGATGATTACATTAGGATTACAAATCGGTAGTGAGAGCTACTGAATTTCCTCCCGTAGGATGTGATATAAAAACAAATCGATTATTTTTGTAGTTGTAAACTCAAGTGGATGAAACTACATTTATTAGTGCTTTCATGTCAATTCGGCGAACATATAATACATTAAATGATCGTGAGAATGATGATTAAAAATAGTTTGTTTGAGCCAGTCTGCATTACCTGATGAGAAAACAAACCGATGCTTTTTGTAGTTGTAGTACACCAACATGGATTAAACGTGTGGTTTTTTCACCACAATGTTGGGGAAATTAATGGATAAAATGCACGGATTATTATTATTATTATTCCCACTCCGATCGGGACACTAGGTCCACCCGTTTCCCCCGCAGCGAGGCTCCCCCGTTGACAGTTTACCTGGGCTGGGTGCAGTGGCGGACTGGCCATCGGGACGAATCCCGATGGGCCGGTACCGAAGTGGGCCGGTCGGATAAATCACTAGCACATCCCCCATAGGCGGCGCGTGAGGCTCAGGTTTGGGAAGGCTAAATAACTTTTTTTACCTGACGCTGCCCGCCTCCGGCGTCTATAGATAAGAGATCAACTCAGTGTGCAGAGTTTAAATCTCTCAAGTCATATTACAGGATAAAGGAAATACAGTTTAAACTGCCGTATGCAGAGAAGACGCCGACGTGTCGCACTTATCATTCATATTACATCATCAATCAGATCATCGATCATATAATATCATAATATATCATATCTTTCCTTATCTGAGTCAGCTTCTCGAGCCGTATCTGGCCGTGCAACACTTACAGTGTCACATACTGTATGCAGAAGAGAAGTATTATTTTAAGCAACACATTATGTTGACGAAACACTCGAGTCAAATGTAATTAAAGTCAGATCCACTCGTGTCTTAGACGTGAACGCGCTCTCAGCTGGAGAGAGAAACCCTGGCTTGATTTACCGAGTTGATAACCAGCGTCGTAGGACCGCTTAGCGAGATCTCGTTTGTTAGTTTGTTGTTGTTAGTTTGTGTGTTACTCAAACATATCCAGGGTCTGTTGAACTGGCTTCGTAGTACAGGGCACAGGTGGCTAGCAGCGCTAATGTCAAAGACACAGACATTGCATTATATTTGTATTTTACCAGGATGCAGTGACACAAATATTTACATATTTACATTTACTATCTACAGCACCCGCCGCCCCTGACATCCCCCACTCCCCCCGTTGACAATTTACTAGCGGTACCGAAGTGGGCCGGTCGAGAGTCCCGGGATGATTTTTAGTCCCAGTCCACCACTGGCTACATGACCGTATGATCGCCCATATTGACGCACCTAATTCCTAAACTTCAAACAGATACAACATAAAGCGATCCTTCAGCCTCATATGAGCTCTCAGACACGTTCAACATTAAACTGTCATCGCTGTCTGAGCTTGCTGCTGTGTGCGCCATCGTGCGTTTACATGCAGATGCTGGGATCCTGAACGGTGCAGCTGGAGCGCTGTGCCCGCAATGACGTCACACATAATCTGGCGGGACTTGAAGAATCCCCGAGAAGATCCAGAAAATGGTCAACATTGAAGGGCAGATTAATGGTTATCAAAGTACAAATATCCAAAATCAGTTCAGTAACGGTTTCAAGGGGACAATATTTACTCAAATTGATGGGTTTGGATGATGGGGGAAACTCGTGTCGCAGGCTCTTTAAGTCTATCTCCTAAAGCCTTGACTGCATGCACAAATTGTCTATTTATGTTGTTCTGTTTCTTCTCACAATAGTGTGATCAGCCCAAATCACTGACATCTGATAGTTGAAAGATAACGATATCTCAGCGATAAATCAGATGAGTTTCTCTCCACCCCAAATAAATCTTTTCTCTTTGTTCTCTGAATGACCTCATGTTTGTAAGAAGTGGTATTAATCCATCTCATGTAAATACACTGAACAAAAATATAAACGCAACACTTTTGTTTTTGCTCCCATTTTTTATGAGATGAACTCAAAGATCTAAAACATTTTCTATCAACACAAAATAACCATTTCTCTCAAATATTGTTCACAAATCTGAAATAATCTGATAGTGAGCACTTCTCCTTTGCCGAGATAATCCATCCCACCTCACAGGTGTGGCATATCAAGATGCTGATTAGACAGCATGATTATTGCACAGGTGTGCCTTAGGCTGGCCACAATAAAAGGCCACTCTGAAACGTGCATTTTTGCTTTATTGGGGGGGTCTGGGGGGGTCCGAAAACCAGTCAGTATCTGGTGTGAGGGGTAGGGTTAGGGTTAGGGTAATGTTGTGAATCGAGTGGCCTGTGTTCGTCGTCCATTACATACGACTGCCCATACCCTAACCCCACCACCACCATGGGCCACTCGATTCACAACATTACCCTAACCCTACCCCTAACCCTCACACCAGATACTGCCTGGTTTTCGGACCCCCCCAGACCCCCCCAATAAAGCAAAACTGCACGTTTCAGAGTGGCCTTTTATTGTGGCCAGCCTAAGGCACACCTGTGCAATAATCATGCTGTCTAATCAGCATCTTGATATGCCACACCTGTGAGGTGGGATGGATTATCTCGGCAAAGGAGAAGTGCTCACTATCACAGATTCTTTCAGATTTGTGAACAATATTTGAGAGAAATGGTTATTTTGTGTTTATAGAAAATGTTTTAGATCTTTGAGTTCATCTCATGAAAAATGGGAGCAAAAACAAAAGTGTTGCGTTTATATTTTTGTTCAGTGTATGTACCTTTACCTCACATTTCTGGCGGCATCACAACCTACCAAAGAGGATGAGAGGCAGATCCAGCCAGACGGCAGCCAGCCTGTAGAGCAGGAAGGGAGCCACGATGCCTCCGACGTCACACATAGTCGAACACACCGACACGCCCAGGTTCCTGAACCCGTCACACAAACATTTAGCATGACTTTATAACTTTATAACTTTATAAAAGAACGAGCTATATGTAGAGGGGGTGAGCGTGACTTCACCTGACAAACGTTGGGTAGAGCTCAGTGTTCACAAACACCACCATCTCATAGGCCATGGTGATCCCCAGCCGACCGATGCAGGCCACCACCGTCTTGAACCAGAACATGCCTGCAAGCAAAGAGGATTTATGGAAGTTTTTTGCACGTATGCAGAAGTACTACTACCAAAATACCACATGATATATTGTTGGAAATAAATACAAACATAGCCAGGGGTTTGGGGTAGAAATATTGCGAGAAGATACTCAAAATGTCCTAGATTTTAGACAAAAGAAACGTATATATATATAGTGCTGGATTTACCAAAAGGAAAGCACAAATTCACAAGAAAAAGCTGTGGTAAGTCGACGGTAAAATGCACGTTTACAAGGAAAAAACCTGCACATACTGTGAGACTAAAGTGGTTCATCAAACATAAAAAGAACGTGTCCTTTCTGAAATTCAAATCGTATACATTTGCACCACATTGAGTCTGGTATGAGTCCACAAAGGGTGATATTGAGGTTAGTGAAGTTAGTAAAAGGTTCCTCTCACTGTCAGGGATGAAGGCGGTGATCAAACAAGCGGCTCCAGCCACGATGTTGGCGGAGGCGAAGGGGATGCGTCTGCCGATACGTTCGATGGTGAGGAGGATGAGGAAGGCAGCGGGGAACTCCACCAAGCCGGAGATCAGGAAGTCGATGTAGACGTTTCCTCCAGCGATCCCCACCCTCATGATCAGACCCTGGTACACCACAGCACTGGTGAACCTGCGGGAGACAGGGAACAAGAAAGAAATGTCTCATACGCAGGGGTGGGAAGTAGTGGAGTACAAATACTTCGTTACTGTACTTAAGTATATTTTTCTGGTATCAGTACTTTACTCCTCTACTTGTTTTTCTGCCGACTTTTAACTTTTACTTCTTACATTTTGAACACAAATACCTGTACTTTCTACTTCTTACATGTTGAACCCAAATACCTGAACTTTCTACTTCTTACATGTTGAACACAAATACCTGAACTTTCTACTTCTTACATGTTGAACACAAATACCTGAACTTTCTACTTCTTACATGTTGAACACAAATACCTGTACTTTCTACTTCTTACATGTTGAACACAAATACCTGTACTTTCTACTTCTTACATTTTGAACACAAATACCTGTACTTTCTACTTCTTACATGTTGAACTCAAATACCTGAACTTTCTACTTCTTACATGTTGAACTCAAATACCTGTACTTTCTACTTACATGTTGAACCCAAATACCTGTACTTTCTACTTCTTACATGTTGAACTCAAATACCTGAACTTTCTACTTCTTACATGTTGAACACAAATACCTGTACTTTCTACTTCTTACATGTTGAACTCAAATACCTGTACTTTCTACTTCTCTCATGTTGAACCCAAATACCTGAACTTTCTACTTCTTACATGTTGAACACAAATACCTGAACTTTCTACTTCTTACATGTTGAACACAAATACCTGAACTTTCTACTTCTTACATGTTGAACCCAAATACCTGAACTTTCTACTTCTTACATGTTGAACACAAATACCTGAACTTTCTACTTCTTACATGTTGAACACAAATACCTGAACTTTCTACTTCTTACATGTTGAACACAAATACCTGTACTTTCTACTTCTTACATGTTGAACACAAATACCTGTACTTTCTACTTCTTACATTTTGAACACAAATACCTGAACTTTCTACTTCTTACATGTTGAACACAAATACCTGTACTTTCTACTTCTTACATTTTGAACACAAATACCTGTACTTTCTACTTACATGTTGAACCCAAATACCTGTACTTTCTACTTCTTACATGTTGAACCCAAATACCTGTACTTTCTACTTCTTACATGTTGAACTCAAATACCTGTGCTTTCTACTTCTCACATGTTGAACACAAATACCTGTACTTTCTACTTCTTACATGTTGAACCCAAATACCTGTACTTTCTACTTCTTACATGTTGAACTCAAATACCTGTACTTTCTACTTCTTACATGTTGAACTCAAATACCTGTGCTTTCTACTTCTCACATGTTGAACACAAATACCTGTACTTTCTACTTCTTACATGTTGAACACAAATACCTGTACTTTCTACTTCTTACATGTTGAACTCAAATACCTGTGCTTTCTACTTCTCACATGTTGAACCCAAATACCTGTACTTTCTACTTCTTACATGTTGAACACAAATACCTGTACTTTCTACTTCTTACATGTTGAACTCAAATACCTGTACTTTCTACTTCTTACATGTTGAACTCAAATACCTGTGCTTTCTACTTCTCACATGTTGAACCCAAATACCTGTACTTTCTACTTCTTACATGTTGAACACAAATACCTGTACTTTCTACTTCTTACATGTTGAACTCAAATACCTGTGCTTTCTACTTCTCACATGTTGAACCCAAATACCTGTACTTTCTACTTCTTACATGTTGAACACAAATACCTGTACTTTCTACTTCTTACATGTTGAACTCAAATACCTGTACTTTCTACTTCTCACATGTTGAACCCAAATACCTGTACTTTCTACTTCTTACATGTTGAACTCAAATACCTGTACTTTCTACTTCTCACATGTTGAACCCAAATACCTGTACTTTCTACTTCTTACATGTTGAACTCAAATACCTGTACTTTCTACTTCTCACATGTTGAACTCAAATACCTGTACTTTCTACTTCTCACATGTTGAACCCAAATACCTGTACTTTCTACTTCTTACATGTTGAACCCAAATACCTGTACTTTCTACTTCTCACATGTTGAACTCAAATACCTGTACTTTCTACTTCTTACATGTTGAACTCAAATACCTGTACTTTCTACTTCTCACATGTTGAACCCAAATACCTGTACTTTCTACTTCTCTCATTTTCCAAACAGCTGGTTCCTTTAGTCTGAAATGTGTGTTTGGTGCGTGATCATTATTCTTTAGAGTCATTGCGTGCCTATTGATTTGAACACGATCCGTGTATCCATCATTTCCTGGTCTTCTCTAAAGAAGAGGGACCAATGGAAACGTTGTCATGTTGCCGTTGTTCAGCATGGAAACATTCATTAGCTAACAATGACATTATTGTTCTATTAATATAAAGGGAGGTCAGGTACTCTTTAAAACAGCTTATGGGTACTTTTTACTGAAGTACATTTCAAAGCCTCTTTACTTTGACTTGAGTAAAGAGTCAGTACTTCTACTTTTACCAGAGTATTTTTAAACACGAGTATCTGTACTTCTACTTGAGTAAAGGATGTGTGTACTTTTGCCATCTCTAGTCTCACCAGTTGAACATGAGGATCAAAGTGTGTTTCCTCATGTTTGGAGTCCTGATCAGGTCCATCAGAGAGGCAGAGGAGGAGTCACCCTCTTCTTCTGTCAGTTTCTATAAACCAAGACATTCAGTTGTGACATTCATTGAGGTTTGCTTTCAGGAGATCTGAGAGTAAAGAACTGATTTACCTCAAAGTGTGAGAGTTTCCTCTTGTTCTCTTTAGCTATAGCTTCAGTGATCTCCATAGCTTTGGCAGAGTTGTTCTGAGAGATGAGCCACCTCGGAGACTCTGGGATAAACCTGTGACAGAAGTGTATTTACAGGTAAACAAATCTACAGCAACTGAACAAATTCATATTTTAAATAGTGATCTGCAGGGTAGGCCAACCAGGAAGTAGCTCCAGGATAAAATCCACATATAAACACTACTTTTTGGATTATTAATCATAACTGCAATCACCTGAAGTGAAAAGCTAACATAAGGCAATACACAATTAACACTGCAGTTGCATGACTTCACTTCACCACTGCTAAAGGCTAAAGCTAAGCTAAAGGCTAAAGCTAAGCTAAAGGCGGCTAAAGTTAAACCTGTTGAGTACAAGGGGTCTAATCTAGCAACTTGTTAGCAACTGTATTTTCTACAACATATTAAAGCTTTTAAATTTACCAGGCAGGAATTTACTGACATATTTGATGTTGTAGAAGAAACTTAAAAATATAATCTTGTGTTAATCACGTACCTTATTTCAGTCAAATAACCAAAACCCAGTAAAATCGATAAACTTCGATATTAGGGAGGCAGAAATGCTAAAATGCTGACTTCTTTCTGGGTTTTAGGACTTATTCCTGCTGCTTCAAAAGTTTTAGCGGTGCTTCTCAAAGTGTGGTCCGCGGACCACTGGTGGTCCGTGAGCGCCCCCTAGTGGTCCATGATTATATTGGTAAAATTTCACATTTGAAATAAATAAATACATTTGAGTTTTCCGCACTCTCGCGGGAATATCTCCGCAATGGAGTGAGTTTAAGTTTCACTTTCGATTGCATGATATAGCTCAGCGCAACACCTTCATCACACATGTTGCCACTTGTTTGTACCATTTTCAGGCCATTTGTAATCTGTTCTAGAAAAACTGTGATTTTGGATATTTGTGGAGTTAGGTGGTCCGCGAGTGATTTTTTATTGGTTAAGTGGTCCTTGGTATGATAAAGTTTGAGAAACACTGATTTAAAGCAATGTTTCGAAGCATATTAATCTATATTTCTACCTTTTACTAAATTTTCAAGACCTCAGCACTACAGCGGTGCACACACGTGGCATCAATTAAGCCTCTGAAAGTTTAGGATTATAGTCTTTATGGTGGAGATTGGGATGTGGTTCCTCACCAGTAGAAGGAGATGAAGAGGATGTAAGGGGCGGTTATGGCGACCTGCAACCAGCGCCAGTCTGTGATGTAGAAAGCGAGCAGAGGGAGGATGATGTTCCCCACACTGAGGAACATCTGGTACAATATCCCCACCGTCCGTCTGTAGTCCACTCCAACGATCTCTGTGACTGACAGAAGAACAGGAGACACATTCAAGGTCACCTACTGTTTTTCATCAATATATTACAGGTCTCAGATATATACAAAACATGTCTCTGATTGGCTGAAACCCCAAACAGATCATTGCAGCATTACCCATAATCCCCTCTGTTTCAGCCCTGTTTCCAAAGTGCTGATTCTCTGTCTGTTACATTAGATGAAAATAAGGAGCCCCTCCCCACGCCCCTCTGAGAGAGATTTGGTTAAAAAGAACTCAATGGTGCTCTAGGAGGAGATTCAGGTGATAAGGGAGGGGGGGGGGGGCGGGGTTACCTTGGTTGCTGATTGGCTAATGGTTACACAAGACAAAACATTGTTATGACATCATAAAGTGGCCAAAATCTGATCAGCTCATTTTCAGACAGGTTTTTATAGAAATGGATCAAAAAGAGAGAGAATCTTTGTTCCTGAAACTTTCAGAGTCTCTTTCCACAGAGGGGACACATGTTGATGTAGAAGAGACATGAAGAAGAGGGGACACATGTTGATGTAGAAGAGACATGAAGAAGAGGGGACACATGTTGATGTAGAAGAGACATGAAGAAGAGGGGACACATGTTGATGTAGAAGAGACATGAAGAAGAGGGGACACATGTTGATGTAGAAGAGACATGAAGAAGAGGGGACACGTGTTGATGTAGAAGAGACATGAAGAAGAGGGGACACGTGTTGATGTAGAAGAGACATGAAGAAGAGGGGACACATGTTGATGTCGAAGAGACATGAAGAAGAGGGGACACATGTTGATGTAGAAGAGACATGGAGAAGAGGGGACACGTGTTGATGTAGAAGAGATATGAAGAAGAGGGGACACATGTTGATGTAGAAGAGACATGAAGAAGAGGGGACACGTGTTGATGTAGAAGAGACATGAAGAAGAGGGGACACATGTTGATGTAGAAGAGACATGGAGAAGAGGGGACACATGTTGATGTAGAAGAGACATAAAGAAGAGGGGACACGTGTTGATGTAGAAGAGACATGGAGAAGAGGGGACACGTGTTGATGTAGAAGAGACATGAAGAAGAGGGGACACATGTTGATGTAGAAGAGACATGGAGAAGAGGGGACACATGTTGATGTAGAAGAGACATAAAGAAGAGGGGACACATGTTGATGTAGAAGAGACATGAAGAAGAGGGGACACGTGTTGATGTAGAAGAGACATGGAGAAGAGGGGACACGTGTTGATGTAGAAGAGACATGAAGAAGAGGGGACACATGTTGATGTAGAAGAGACATGAAGAAGAGGGGACACATGTTGATGTAGAAGAGACATGAAGAAGAGGGGACACGTGTTGATGTAGAAGAGACATGGAGAAGAGGGGACACGTGTTGATGTAGAAGAGACATGAAGAAGAGGGGACACATGTTGATGTAGAAGAGACATGAAGAAGAGGGGACACATGTTGATGTAGAAGAGACATGAAGAAGAGGGGACACGTGTTGATGTAGAAGAGACATGGAGAAGAGGGGACACGTGTTGATGTAGAAGAGACATGAAGAAGAGGGGACACATGTTGATGTAGAAGAGACATGGAGAAGAGGGGACACATGTTGATGTAGAAGAGACATGAAGAAGAGGGGACACATGTTGATGTAGAAGAGACATGGAGAAGAGGGGACACATGTTGATATAGAAGAGACATGAAGAAGAGGGGACACATGTTGATGTAGTAGAGACATGAAGAAGAGGGGACACATGTTGATGTAGTAGAGACATGAAGAAGAGGGGACACATGTTGATGTAGAAGAGACATGGAGAAGAGGGGACACGTGTTGAGGAATAACTTGGATAATTTCTGAGATTAAAAAGATAACTTGAGAAAAATTAAAATAAATGTTTGAATAAAGTGATACATTTCCAAGGAATAATCAACAGTTTATGATAAAAAAAATAATAAGATTAACAATTTTAAGGAGAAAAACTCATAAAATGATGGGGTGGAATTGAATATACTCCGAGATTAAAAGTGGTACATTTGAAAGAAAAAACATGAGCTATTTACGAGAAAGAATTAGGATATTCTCTGAGATAAAGGTTGAATTAAGAAAAAAATACATCAACACTATATGAGTAAAACTACATTTTATCTAAGATTAAATTGGTATGTATCAGAATAATAAAAAAGCACAGATTTACAGTTAAAAATCTCAGACTTGTAAGCGGTAAATTAAAGAAAAAATACAAACAAATTTACATAAAAAAGGTTAATAGTCTCTAAAATCAGGCTTTAAATTGAAAGACTATCAAAGTGTGATGTTAAATGTTTGCATGGAAGGTGAAGCAAGTCAAACAAAGAGCAAAAGGAAAGATTTAAACAACCACAGAGTGAACATAGATCTATAAAAAGGGGCATTTAGAGATATCTGACCTTCACTAAATGACTACATGTGTTACTGTAAGGCTCAGGTGAGGTGTGTACTATGCGTGTGTGTTCAGTTTTTGAACAGAGTTGTCCCTACGCAGCACGTAGGTGGACATCCAGCCTCCTTTGACCCCGATGCCGAACACGGCCCTCAGCACCAGGATGGAGATGACGTTTGGAGCGAAAGCGAGAACCATTCCTGCGACAGCGTTCAGGATGTTGGACACCAGGAAACTCATCCTCCTGCCAAACCTGCAGAGAGGAAGACGAAGGGCAAGAGGTTCTTTCAAAATAAGAGTTGCTGTGAAGGTATAACCTTATAAGGTATAAGAGCCTTCTCCGTCGCTGCCCCCGCCCATCAGACTGCACTGACCTCACCACCTTCAGAAAACTCACAAAAACTCACCTCTTCAATCTGGCTTTTAATGTGTGATTGTTGTTGTATTGCTTGATTTTACACTGAACAAAAATATAAATGCAACACTTTTGTTTTTGCTCCCATTTTTCATGAGATGAACTCAAAGATCTAAAACATTTTCTATATACACAAAATAACCATTTCTCTCAAATATTGTTCACAAATTTGAAAAATCTGTGATAGTGAGCACTTCTCCTTTGCCGAGATAATCCATCCCACCTCACAGGTGTGGCATATCAAGATGCTGATTAGACAGCATGATTATTGCACAGGTGTGCCTTAGGCTGGCCATAATAAAAGGCCACTCTGAAACGTGCAGTTTTGCTTTATTGGGGGGGGTCTGGGGGGGTCCGAAAACCAGTCAGTATCTGGTGTGACCACCATTTGCCTCACGCAGTGCAACACATCTCCTTCGCATAGAGTTGATCAGGTTGTTGATTGTGGCCTGTGGAATGTTGGTCCACTCCTCTTCAATGGCTGTGCCAAGTTGCTGGATATTGGCAGGAACTGGAACACGCTGTCGTATACGCCGATCCAGAGCATCCCAAACATGCTCAATGGGTGACATGTCCGGTGAGTATGCTGGCCATGCAAGAACTGGGATGTTTTCAGCCTCCAGGAATTGTGTACAGATCCTTGCAACATGGGGCCGTGCATTATCATGCTGCAGCATGAGGTGATGGTCGTGGATGAATGGCACAACAATGGGCCTCAGGATCTCGTCACGGTATCTCTGTGCATTCACAATGCCATCAATAAAATGCACCTGTGTTCGTCGTCCATAACATACGCCTGCCCATAACATACGCCTGCCCATACCATAACCCCACCACCACCATGGGCCACTCGATTCACAACATTGACATCAGAACACCGCTCACCCACACGACGCCACACACGCTGTCTGCCATCTGCCCTGAACAGTGAAAACCGGGATTCATTCGTGAAGAGAACACCTCTCCAACGTGCCAGACGCCATCGAATGTGAGCATTTGCCCACTCAAGTCGGTTACGACGACGAACCGGAGTCAGGTCGAGACCCCGATGAGGACGACGAGCATGCAGATGAGCTTCCCTGAGACGGTTTCTGACAGTTTGTGCAGAAATTCTTTGGTTATGAAAACCGATTGTTGCAGCAGCTGTCCGAGTGGCTGGTCTCAGACGATCTTGGAGGTGAACATGCTGGATGTGGAGGTCCTGGGCTGGTGTGGTTACACGTGGTCTGCGGTTGTGAGGCCGGTTGGATGTACTGCCAAATTCTCTGAAACGCCTTTGGAGACGGCTTATGGTCGAGAAATGAACATTCAATTCACGGGCAACAGCTCTGGTGGACATTCCTGCTGTCAGCATGCCAATTGCACGCTCCCTCAAAACTTGCGACATCTGTGGCATTGTGCTGTGTGATAAAACTGAACATTTTAGAGTGGCCTTTTATTATGGCCAGCCTAAGGCACACCTGTGCAATAATCATGCTGTCTAATCAGTATCTTGATATGCCACACCTGTGAGGTGGGATGGATTATCTCGGCAAAGGAGAAGTGCTCACTATCACAGATTTTTTAAGATTTATGAACAATATTTGAGAGAAATGGTTAGTTTGTGTTTATAGAAAATGTTTTAGATCTTTGAGTTCATCTCATGAAAAATGGGAGCAAAAACAAAAGTGTTACATTTATATTTTTGTTCAGTGTAATTTGACTTCAACTATATTTATTTGTTGTTCTTTTCTTTTCACTATCTCTGTAAAGCGACTTTAAGCACCTGTAAAAGAGCTTACAAAATAAATCTATTATTATTATTATTATAACATCAGAAAACCATTCGTCACGTCTCTAATCATATTGCCACGTTCTAATAAAAGAGTCATCGTACAAAAGTCATACATTGTGTTGTTTATCAACTAGTACACAATCTAACAGTATCTACAGACAACTCAGGAACCATCATTTAAGTGTGTATGTATCGCATCAGGGATTTTCCTGTTATTCATGCTGGGTGTTTACGGTTTATTTGGTTTGTTATTTTAACTTTTCTTGATTATCATTTACCTCTTTTATAGTGATGGGAATTACAGCTCTTTGAAGGGAGCCGGATCTTATGGCTCCGTTCCTTTCCGAGAGCCATTCAATAGAGCCGTTCAAAAGAGCCGTTCTTCTGCGAAATAATGACCAGGATAATGATTGACTGTATTGCCAGAAATCTACTTTTACTCACAGAAAAAATGTATAACTTGCTACATCTCTCAGCCAGCCAAACTACTAACCAGCAGCATGCGTTATGCCATCATCTATACGGCAAATGTGCATTCAGGAAAGCAAGTTCCCGTAAACGATAAAAAGAACGGCTCTCACCAAGTACGACTCGGTTCCCTTCGTTCGTACCAAAGAGCCGTTCAAAAGAATCGGATCGTTCGCGAACATCACATCACTACTCTTTTAAGTATTTGTTTGTTTATGTGTTTGTTTATGTGACAGGGTTCTATTTGTCCGTTTGAAACATAGGCTTAGTCGGTTGAATTAAGCTCCAAAACTTTATTTGACAGCAACAAAAATATATATAGCCTACTGTTTGTTTAAGTTGTGCTGTTTCGCTTTTGTCAAACAAAATAAAAGTCACCAAACCAGGCCGTCCATCACTCATGGAATAAACACATTCTGGCTGTTGCCTTCACTGCAACAATCTCCCGAGTGACTCTTCCAGGGCCAACACCGTCCCTTTTGAACCCATAGCCCCTCCCCACAGGCTTACCGTCAACAGGTTACACAATTAACTCAAAACCACATTGTCAACATAAAGATCCGACCCAAACATAAACAGGTTAATTAACTCTTAACACAATCATTCCCCATAATTAACAAACGCAAAGGAAATAATAAATTGCATGGTTCATGACATCCTATTTAAATCACGGAGGTGATGCGCCTCCGTCTTTTCCACATTCCCTTTGCTGGGGAGACGGCGGCCGCACGACGAACGGAAGAGAGCAGGAAATGTTTGGTGTTTGTGTGTGTCGGCTGTCAGTGGCGGAGTCAGTCACTCTGTGATCCACTCCGTCACAGTTTATTTATCTGTTTTATGTTTTTCTTTTGTTTGTTTTTCAATATCAATTGTCCTTCTTTAATACAAAAAAGACGTATATATGTTAATAATGTAGTTTTTGGGAGAAGGGGTGGGATTAAATAAGTGTAAACGTCTTCCTACCCCTTTTCGGATGAGTAATTAAGTAGATAATTTGTTTATATATAATTTGGAGTCAGTAATATTTTTGTTTATCAAGTTGACACTGGTTAAGTTTGTACAGTATCATACAGTTTCATTTCATTATTATTATAATTTTTTGGTATTATTGTTTTACACGTTCGAAATAAATCAAATCAAAAGGTAACATCAGAAAACCATTCCTCACGTCTCTAATATAAGTACAAAAGTCATACATTGCTTTAAAGTTAAATAATCCTTTGGGGTTGTATGTCAACTAGTGCAAAGTCTAAACATTAACAGCTTTTTTGTCAACAGTATCTCACAAACCATAATCAAATTGTGTCTTTGTGAATACAGTATATTGAATCAGGGCTTTTCCTGTTATTCTTCATGATGTTTTTTATACAATTCTGTGTATTTTTCTATAATTTTAAACAACCTACAGTAGGGCTATTTGTTTGACCAACTCAGTGTTTGTTCTCAAGCTATTGCTTTAATGGGAAGGGGGAACATGGTTTGTCCTTCAAAATACTGCTGCTGGTTTATAAAGCATTAGGCGCTTTCACACTGGAGTACTTTTCCCGTTTAGTTCCGATAGTACCTGGGATTTTGCGTTCACACCAAAAAGAGAACTTAGTTCATGAGAACTTTTACCCCCATTTTTAGTGCTGCTAGAGATCAGGTACTTTCCTGGGGAGAAAAAAGTACCAATTTCTGATTGGCTGGGCGAATTGCAAACCACACCCCGTAAAACTCTCAAAAAATGTTTGAAGCCACCATTGTATTTGCTGGCATTAGCATTATTAGCATTAGCCCCGCGTACCAACGGAGAGAGATTAACTTATGGCAACACAAAAAAAAACATGGGAGCGGTGGAAATGAGGAGGTGTCGGCGTTCTGGCGATTTACTCGGAAGGCTTCAGTAGAAGCTGCTGGGAGTCCCAGCAGCTTCTACTGAAGCCAGTCCCCAACTCCGGGGACTTCCGGCCGGGGACTTCGGGTGGCAGTATACGCCGTGAAGTGGTTTGCGGCCTGCCAGTAAACCCAAAGCAGAAGAAGTGACGTCAGCGGCTTCATTTGCGTAATCTTCCCTCAGGGACTTATTCCGGTGTGAACGCGATCTGTACTTAGTTCCATGGGGGTACTAAGTGCTGGGAACTAAGTATGGCAAAGTACTTGGTGTGAAAGCGGCTAATGAATGGTTTAGGCCCAAAATACATTTCTGATCCCTCTATGAATTATGAACCATCCAGATCTCTCAGGTCTGCTTTCTGAGTCAGAACTAAACATGGAGAAGTTCACTTATTATGCTCCAAATATCTGGAACAAACTCCCAGAAACCTGCAGGTCCGCTGCAACTCGGACTACTTTTAAATCCAAGCTGAAGACTTTTCTTTCTGAAGCTACTTTTAATGGAACTATTCACATCTTACGCTGCACTGTAACTTGTATTCATGTATTTTATACCTGCATTATTCTATATTACCTTCATTTGTGTTTATGTTATTATCTTTGCTTTTTAATGACTGTTTTTAAAGGCAAATGTATAATGTGTTTTCGCTGCACTATTTCTAAATGCTCTTATTGTCTTTCATTTTTGTAAACCTCCCATTTGCACTATGCATATCATCTTTTTTATATATATCCTTGCTTACTTGAAGTAATCGGTTATTTGTGTCATTTTTTTAAAATGATTGAGTCTTCTTGCATTTTAATGTGTGAGTTTTTTATACCTCGGGACTGTGAGAAACAGTATTTCGATCTTTCTGTGTGTCCAAACATATTTTGAGATTGACAATAAAGTTGACTTTGACTTTTGACTGACTAAAGCACTTTGTGTCGAAAAGTGCTTTGTAAATAAACATGCCTTGCCTTCTCTTTTGTAATTATAAATGAAACACAACTAAAGTTATGACTAATGAACAGTGTGGTTTACCTGTCAGCAAAGAAGCCAAAAGCAAAGCTGCCGGCGAGGAATCCCACGTTGACAAATGCCTGGTACATGTCCACATACCATGAGTCTGAACACACCAGGTCGAACTGAGAGGAAGAGAAGATGCAAGGTTTCAATTCAGAAGACGCTGAACGTATGCCATGTGTACAATCATGTATTTAATTAAGTAGAACTGCATAATTTTAATTGTTTTGTTAAAGTGATATAAATCAACCTTATTTTGAAGCAGAGATGTATCAAAAGTCTCTCCTCACCTCTGTGACAAAGGACTTCCTGCCGTCATAGTCGTACTCCCAGCCATCCTTAAAAGACAGAAACAAAACATTGCTTTTACTGCAAAAGCACTTTACACATTAGATTAAGAAATCAAGCATCTCTTTATCTCTTTAAACCCTTTACTTTGCAAAGCCTTTTCATTTCTGCTTTGACCTCCTCTGTGCAAACCACTGACATTTTACTTCTCACAAGGCCAACAAAGTGATGAATGAATGATTTTAACACATGAAAGCAATCAGGACACCTCTGCATGACTTCAGGGTCACAGGAGAGAACTCAACTTTTTAAGAAATGAAACGATATCCTTGAAACCTGCTGCTTTAGAGGAACTAAACGACTACTCTTCTGCCGGGGGTCCTGCCAACCATGTCGTTCCCTCTCCCCCTCTACCTTTGCCTCATCGGTGCTCTCAGCCCTCCCTTCCTCTGACTCGTTCCAACTACTGCCTCCAAACTCTGCTGCAGAAACTCTCCTCTCTACTCTCTTATCCTCTCTGGACTCTCTCTGTCCTCTCACATCTCGGCAGGCTCGTCAGTCCCCTCCTGCTTCCTGGCTAAATGACGCACTGCGTGCTAGTAGAACCGTCCTTCGGGCAGCAGAGCGGAAACGGTGGAAATCCAAACACCATGACGACCTCCTAACCTATCAGGCTCTCCTCTCCTCTTTCTCTGCTTCGATCTCTCAGGCAAAAGCACTTTCTTTCAAGATAAGATCCAATCTTCCTATTCCAATCCCAAAAAACTATTTTCCATCTTCTCCACCCTCTTGGACCCCCCCAAAGCCCCTTCCCCCTCCTCCCTTCTGTCAAGCGACTTTGTTACCCACTTTGAAAAAAAGGTTAATGATATTTGCTCTTCTTTTTCTGACTCACCTTTACTCACCGCTGGGTCACCAGACCCTCCTTCCACCAACACACTTACCTCCTTTTCCCCTCTCTCTCCAAGTGAGGTTCTTACCCTCATTACCTCTGCCCGTCCTACCACCTGCCCTCTGGACCCTATCCCTTCAAACCTCCTTCAGACTATCGCTCCTGATATTCTACCGTTTCTCACCCATTTCATCAACACTTCTCTAACTTCTGGTCACTTTCCAAACAGTCTCAAGGAGGCAAGAGTAAACCCTCTCCTAAAGAAACCCACTCTCAACCCGTCTGATGTTATAAACTACAGGCCTGTCTCTCTACTCCCGTTCCTGTCTAAAACACTTGAACGCGCTGTCTTTAAACAACTCTCCTGTTATCTCAATCAGAACAACCTTCCGGATCCGCACCAGTCTGGTTTCAAGGCAGGTCACTCCACAGAAACTGCCCTCCTTGCTGTCACTGAGGAACTGCACACGGCTAAAGCAGCCTCCCTCTCCTCTGTCATCATCCTTTTGGACCTGTCTGCTGCATTCGACACGGTGAATCATCAGATCCTCCTTCGCACTCTCCAAGAACTTGGAGTTTCAGGCTCTGCACTTTCCCTCATCACCTCATACCTCAAAGACTGCACCTACAGGGTTACTTGGAGAGGGTCCGAGTCCGACCCTTGTCAATTAACTACAGGGGTCCCTCAGGGCTCTGTTCTTGGTCCCCTCCTCTTCTGCTTGTACACAAACTCGCTCGGATCAGTCATTAGCCCGCATGGTTTTTTCATACCACTGCTACGCTGACGACACCCAATTAATTCTGTCCTTTCCCCGCTCAGAGACCCAGGTCGTCGCACGCATCTCTGCTTGTCTAGCTGACATCTCTCAGTGGATGTCTGCTCACCACCTCAAGCTCAACCTTGATAAGACTGAACTGCTTTTCCTTCCGGGAAAAGATTGTCCCACTCTTGACCTAACAATCAACATCGGCACCTCTGTTGTTTCCCCGTCTCAGACTGCAAGGAATCTGGGTGTGACCAAAGCCAGCACTTGAAATGTTTTTGCTCTATGAAACCTGATGTACTTATATGATTCTGTTTTCTTCAAGTTTGTATCTTGTTGGTCGAACGCACTTATTGTAAGTCGCTTTGGATAAAAGCGTCAGCTAAATGTAATGTAATGTAATGTCCTGTGCCGTTGGAGGTCCCGCCGACTGCTCTCCTGCCGGGGGTCCTGCCAACCCTATGTCCTGTGCCGTTGGAGGTCCCGCCGACTACTCCTCTGCCGGGGGTCCTGCCAACCCTATGTCCTGTGCCGTTGGAGGTCCCGTCGACTACTCTCCTGCCGGGGGTCCTGCCAACCCTATGTCCTGTGCTGTTGGAGGTCCAGCCGACACCTGTTTCGTCGGGGGTCCTGCTAACTCCATGTCCTGTCCCGTTGGGGATCTCGCCGACTGCTCTTCTGCCGGGGGTCCTGCCAACCCTGTGTCCTGTGCCTCTGGGGGTCCCGCCAACAACTCTTCTGCCAGGGGTCCTGCCAACCCTATGTCCTGTGCCGTTGGAGGTCCCGCCGACTACTCTCCTGCCGGGGGTCCTGCCAACCCTATGTCCTGTGCCGTTGGAGGTCCAGCCGACACCTGTTTCGTCGGGGGTCCTGCTAACTCCATGTCCTGTCCCGTTGGGGATCTCGCCGACTGCTCTTCTGTAGGGGGTCCTGCCAACCCCATGTCCTGTTCCGTTGGAGGCCCCGCCATCACCGGTCTCACCGGGGGTCCTGTCAACTCCTTGTCCTCTTCCGTGGGGGATATTGCCGACACCTGTCCTACCGGCTCCGGTTCCTCTCCGGTCGACACCGGGTCCTGCCCGGCCTCCGGAGCTGTCCGGTCTTCGCCCTCGGGCCCGGCCCCCTGAGAGCCGCGGTCTTCGCCCTCGAGCCCGGTCCCCTGAGTGCTGTGGTCTTTGCCCTCGGCCCCATGAGTTCGCCCGCTGTGGCTTTCGCCCCTCCATGGACTCTGCCTTGCCCCCGGGCCGTCCGCCGGAGACCCCCTCCTCAAACTCTGCCTTGCCCCCGGGCCGTCCGCCCGAGTCCCTCCTCCGGACCCCCTCCACCCACCCAAGTGGCCCAAGTGATGCTAATACCTGTACTTTCTACTTCTTACATGTTGAACCCAAATACCTGTACTTTCTACTTCTCACATGTTGAACTCAAATACCTGTACTTTCTACTTCTCACATGTTGAACTCAAATACCTGTACTTTCTACTTCTTACATTTTCCAAACAGGCTGGTTCCTTTAGTTTGAATGTGTGTGGCGTGATCATTATTATTTAGAGTCATTGCGTGCCTATTGATTTGAACACGATCCGTGTATCCATCATTTCCTGGTCTTCTCTAAAGAAGAGGGACCAATGGAAACGTTGTCATGTTGCCGTTGTTCAGCATGGAAACATTCATTAGCTAACAATGACATTATTGTTCTATTAATATAAAGGGAGGTCAGGTACTCTTTAAAATAGCTGCTAGTTATGGGTACTTTTTATTTAAGTACATTTCAAAGCCCAAACTTCTTTACTTTCAGTTGAGTAAAGAAGTTTAGTCAGTACTTCTACTTTTACCAGAGGATTTTTAAACACGAGTATCTGTACTTCTACTTGAGTAAAGGATGTGTGTACTCTCTGCTGAGGACTCACCTTGCAGGGAGTTGCTTTGCTGAGATTCAGGTACAGAGGATCACAGCTGAGAGTGGTTTTGTTCCAGTCCACCTCGTACCGCTCACAGCTGCTCTCAGATCTGTTCCCCAGACCCTCCGTCAAGCTCCATCCACAGGCTTGCCTCCTCTCCACCACTGCGGGGTCTCTGCACCAGTGATCCGGGGTGAATCCCTGGAAGACGATGCCCACGTAGACCCCTGAGAGAGGCAGAGACAGCAGACAGAGCATGGCGAAGACGCGCTTCTGACAGCGGCCGAAAGTTCCAGCCTCCTCCAAGAGGTCATCAAAGGTCGCCATAGCTGCTGTGATCCAAGTTATGATATTAAAAAATAAGCTTAATATAGACTGCACACAAAGGATCTCTGTGCAATGCCAGAAATCTGTTTAGCAGATTTAGACCTCTGCTCAAAATTAAGCTAAAGTCCAGAAAAAAGCCGGTTGGATTTAGTTAATGCAGTGGAATATGTTACCGTTTAATAGAGCTAAACAGAGAACAAGTTACGCATTAAGTGATCCTGAACCGAGCCAAAACAAATTCAGTTTGTATTCTGTGAGTGTGCCTCCAGGCTTGCACAACAGATAGAAAATGTGCCTGATTATGTCACAAGACACAGCTGTTTCTACTCTTTTTTTCTTTGGGATAATTAAGCATTCGGATAGCATTCATTTAACTCTTCAAGTTCCTGTGTGAAGTATGATGGGGAAAAAGTTAATTTGGTTACCATTTCTCTACAAACACTTTTGAAATAACAATCACATGGATGCATTTAATATGGTGCATTTAAGTAAGTAAGTAAGTAAAACTTTATTTATATAGCACCCTTCTCAACACGGATGTACAAAGTGCTTTACAGTACAGTACACAGGACACAATTCAAAGTACAACTATAAAATGTAGAATAAAAGGGATAAAAGAGCAGCAGGTAATACTTAGGATAAAACATACGACAAAACACCAATAAAAAAGACAGCCACTAACTCACCTCCTCCGACGACCCAAAGGCCTGTCGGAACAGGTGTGTCTTTAACTGCCCCTTAAAAATCTCTATTGAGGCCGAGGTTTTTATTATCTGGGGGAGTTTGTTCCAAAGCCTTGGGGCCACCACCTCAAAGGCACGGTCACCCTTAGTCTTTAGCCTGGTTCGGGGCACCCTTAGGAGGCCTTGCTCAGAGGACCTCAGGGCCCGGGTTGTGATGTGCGGGTGGATCAGGTCATTGATGTAGGCTGGGGCTTGGCCATGGACAGCTCTATATGTGAAGACCAGTTAAGCTGTTGCAGAGGACAACTAACTAACTAACTTACTAACTAACTAACTAACTGACTTATGATTATCTTAACAAGCTGTTATCAATCATGGATAATCGCAATTATATACCATTATATGTATACAGTATATTATGAGCCTATATTCCTGCTACTGCAGTATTCTTGACCTTTTTAAAGAACATTTTAATTATCCAGAATGTTGTATATTGTATTATTGTTTATAGTTATATTTGTTTATACTATGTTTCATTTTTATTTTTAATTGTTCACTCTTTCCCCTCTTAAGTATTTGTATTTTAATGTTGAGCACACTTGTCCTGTAACAAAATAATTTTCCAATTTGGGATTAATAAAGTATATCTAGCTAAATAACTCTAACTGACTGACTAACTAATAAACTGACTGACTGACTGACTAACTAATAAACTGACTGACTGACTGACTAACTAATAAACTGACTGACTGATTAGCTAACTAACTGACAAAATAAATAACAGACTGACTTTCTGACTGACTTACAGACTGACTGACAAACTGACTGACTTACAGACTGACTTTCTGACTGACTGACAAACTGACTGACTAATAAACTAACTGACTAACTGACAAAATAAATAACAGACTGACTAACTGACTAGCTAAATGACTTTCTGACTAACTGATTAGCTGACTAACTTAATAACTGACAAACTTAGAAATTAACTAACTTACTAACTGACTCACTGATTGGCTAGCTAACTGACAAACTAGTCGACTTAGTAACCAACTAACTAACTAACTTACAAACCAACTAACTAACTAACTGATAAATTAACTGACTAACTCACTTACTGATTGACTTATTCTCTAACAAGTTGACTACTATCACTAACTTATTACCTAACTCACTTAAAAACTACAAACTAACCAACTAATCAAATAACTAACTTACTAACTAACCAACAAACTAAGTGACTAAACCAACCAAAAAAAAGACATGTCTGATGTTAGTTGATGCAGCAGAAGATAGAAACTGAAAACCAAAATGCTCAATGTGAGGTCAGGGAAAATGTTTAATACATGTTTTTATAAACACTTTCCGCTCATGTTATGTTAATAGAAAGCTCTTTGATAATTTAATAAAAATAATAATTCATGGTATTAATTACAGCATTTTTTCCAAGTGCTCAAAGCACTTTACACGACATATAATAGACATGTAATACATCAATACTGTGGACAATACCCACTAGTGTTGGCACGATACCAACATTTTGGTTTCGATACCGATACCAAGTCAAGAATTGCGATTCCGATTCTTTTTCGATACTTTTCTAAAAAAAAGGGAATAAATGTCTTAAAAAAGTCTTAAATGTAATTATTGTGCTTTATTTCACACCAGAACCATAACTATAACACAAACTTTTAAACAATGAGAACAATAAACAAAATAAATGACAATAATTCGTATTAAATACAATTAAGCATCATCTCAAACAACCTTTTTGTTTTATAAAATATAATTTTTTTTATATTTTATTAACATGTAATAGTACAGTAATATAAATAATTATTGACAAAATGTATATTGCAGATGTTAGCCACATTGGTAAGTTAGCTAAAAAGATAGCCATATTAGACAGTTATCATTGCCATGAATTGCCTCGTCAAACTACGAAAACGTTCGTTTGTCACAAAATAAATTACACTTGTTTGAAGGCATGGGCTTGAGCATGATGTAATTATGTTATCTATCACATTCGCTAACCTGTCTGTCTTTAAATTCTTTAAACAGCTCTGGATTCCGGTCTGCGGGTGCTTAGCGAAGTCTGATGTGTTGGCTCCCTTGGTTTGCAGGGATCTAAAACATGTCTCACAGACGGGCCTCGTGGTGTCCGTAGGCTTGCCCTCACTGTCAGAGATATAGCTCAAATACTTCCAAATTTAGCTTCTGGCGTCTTTTGTGACAACAAGCCGAGACGCAGCGGCAGCTGCACTCCCACTTGCAGCCATGCTTCTCGTTTTCTCACATGCTCTGGCAGAGGGACTTAGAGCGTGCTTGAGAGAGTGCTTGAGAGAGGGGAGGCACTTAGAGCGTGCTTGAGAGGGGCGGGACTGCAGGCACGGCTGCAGTGCAGGGAGTGGAAGCAGAGCGCTGAACACACACGGCTCTTATTAAAACGGCGCTTTCTCACCGGAGTACTTTCCCCCGTCATTCTTAAAGTACCGATACTAATGAAACGGAGGAATCGTACCGTTTTTAACGGCAGGGTATCGCGGTACCTTTCAAGTATCGGTACACCGTGCAACACTAATACCCGCAGGAGCTTTTAGGGTGAAGTGCCTTGCTCAAGGACACAACAACATGTTGATTGAACCTGTGATCATCACACTAAACCACAGTCGCCCCTAATAATAATAATAATGATAATAATTATAATAACATGATTAACGTCTCTCTTCACACACTTCAATCCAACGTCACTCGTCCCTGAGGCTTAAATCGTCTGTGTGTAAGAATATTCAGAGGAAACTTTGACACAGCAGTGAAATCCAAAAAAGAGTATAAAAAAAAAATACTTCTGTCAGTCGCAGTTAAACCATAGCTGTTTCTTTGTTGTTGCATATGTTTACAGTGGGAAGCAGGTTGGTCCGCTGCTGGGTTCCTCAGGATGGCTTTCTCCATCCTCCTGAACACACACGCACACACACACACACACACACACACCACACACACACACACACACCACACACACACACACAACACACACACCACACACACACACACACAACACAACACACACACACACACACACCACACACACACACACACAGCACACACACACCACACACACACAGTTAGTTCTGTTCACCTTTTGCTGAAATTTGTTTCATAAATGAACCTGTTTTTTTGCCTTATAACAATTTTTTTTAATAATATTTAATGTTGCATTGTTCACAGGATATCGTGCTCATTCACTTGTATGTGTTATTGTTGTCGTTTTTGTTATACATTTACTGTTATTTATGACAAAAAACAATAATATAAATAGTTTCTGGTTGGTCCGGATCAACAGGACAATTTAAGACGACAATCATAACAAACATTTTTCACTATTTCATGACATAAATAACACTTTTAATTGAGAATAAAACCTCCAAAATGTATCCATAACAAACATTTAGCCTTTGTTGCAGCCATACCTGCCCACCTTGAGACCTCAGAAATCGGGAGCATTTCAAAACCACCGCGCGCGGGGGGGGGGGGGGGGGGGGGGGGGGGGGTGTTAGTGGACCGCCGGAGCTGTATTAGATTAACATTAACATGCTTATTGTAGTTGTAAGTGCACTGCCTTGCGGCCTGTAGCACCATCCTTGATGGAGCATATGGGTGTGTGGGCTGGACCAGTATTTTACAGGAAAGGAGTGAGCAGAGGGTCGAGTTGTCGATTCTTGTTCTGTTTTCTATGACTATTGGCTCACCCTCTCAGACTAAAGAGACGCGCTGCCATGGAAACCAAACAATGGTGTAGCTGTATTAAAGTCTGAGTGGAAACAGTCCTGAGTAAATCAGATTTTGTCAGAAATCGGGAGAAATATGACCCCGGGAGGAAACCGGGAGAGGGCAATGCAATCGGGAGTCTCCCGCGAAAATCGGGAGGGTTGGCAAGTATGGTTGCAGCCCCTGAACGAATGCATGTTATTGTGAAAACACCAAGGCATCTTCAACAATAGGTAAGAAACTGGATCTTAAATATACATACACACAGATACAAAGCCTTTCAGACTTATTTATTCACACAATGGATTATGCCAAAATGTGTCGTATAAAGATGGATATATTAAATAAACGGCTGGATTCTCACCTCTCGGGGTGCTCGATGTCGTCGATGGTGTCGGGCAGCGGCATGCCTCTGGTCTCAGGAAGCAGCAAAACCAGACCCCCCGCCACGAAGGCAAGACACCCTGCACAACACAGACAAGATAATAAGTGTTCTGAATGTCCTCTTCCAATATCAGAGTCCACATGATAACAAAGGTATCCCAACTGTAGCTGTGAACATGACAGGATGTGTGATTACCTAGAAGAGCATCAGGACTGTTTGAGGCATATGATAGCTATGTGATTAACATGATGATTCAGCCTCTATGGAGATAGACATCAAGCATGCTCATTTCTGACGTGGAGCTAATCTGAAGTAAACATTGAATACTGCTTTCTATTCCTCCATCTTGTGACTGTGTAACTCCCTCTCTTGGATATCAGCATGTGAAGGACACTGTTCAGGAACTAGTTGATGCTCTGTATGTGATGACTACTTCCATTCTGGAGAGGATCACAGACACATGGATCCTGAGATTGAAGCTCAAGCCGGAGACGAGAGAGATTTTTCTAACCATAAGTGTCATAGTTTTTATCACTTTTATTCGTTTTTTATCGCTCATATTAATATAAAACCCACCGAAGATGATGAGAGGCAGCTCCAGCCAGATGACGGCCAGCCTGTAGAGCAGGAAGGGAGCCACGATGCCTCCGACGTCACACAGAGTCGAGCAAACAGACACTCCAAAGTTCCTAGAGACAGAAGAGACAACCAGATCATTGGGTTTGGTTCAGTTAGAGATAATATGCACATACAGTGTGTCTATTTTTAAAACACTGAGGGGGGAATTCACAGCTTTTGTGTCCACTAAACCTGTGCAAATACGTGGTGTATGCTCCACATTCATTTACCTGAGGCTGTCAACAGTGGAAAATGCATACTGTTAGCTAAATGAAAGGGATTATCTGTTCAATTTAGGGAGAATCTCACACTCACTGAGCATGATAGAATATTCAGGTAATTAATATGGATGTACAGCAGCGAAGTCTGGCGTTTAGCGTGTAACATAACATTTTACCTTGCTAACTTTTAGCATGGACCTTAAGCAGGCTAACATGCTAACATACTTTCACCACAACAACATTTGGACAAACTGTGTTGTCCGTAAGGGAAGGAGATATTGAAAAGGTTAATCCCTGTCCAATAAGGGAAAGTTCACTTTCAGGATCTTAAATAATGGCAAACCTAACTGTGATGACTTTTAATGTAATCAAATGCATTTTGAATTTTTTACTTGTGTATTTAGTGACTACAGATTTAAGTTAGCATTTTTACATCCTATACTTTGTACTGTCCCTATCCAATAAACCAATACAAAAGGCATTTTTGGAAGTGTCTTTTGTATTGGTTAACCCTAACCCCCTAACCCTAACCCTAACCCTAACCCTAACCCTAACCCTAACCCTAACCCTAACCCTAACCCCTAACCCTAACCCTAACCCTAACCCTAACCCCATCCCTCCCAAACAACAATTTAGACTTTCAGAGTGTGGACAGTTTCTATATTTACCTGACAAACGTTGGGTAGAGCTCAGTGTTCACAAACACCACCATCTGAAAGGCCATGGTGATCCCCAGCCGACCGATGCAGGCCGCCACCGTCTTGAACCAGAACATGCCTGCAAGCAAAGAGAGAGAGAGAAACAGTCAAAGGAAGGCTTTCAGGGAACCAGGAAATGATACTCTGAGGACTTCTGATTGGCTCACTGTCAGGGATGAAGGCGGTGATCAAACAAGCGGCTCCAGCCATGATGTTGGCGGAGGCGAAGGGGATGCGTCTGCCGATGCGTTCGATGGTGAAGAGGATGAGGAAGGCAGCGGGGAACTCCACCAGGCCGGAGATCAGGAAGTCGATGTAGACGTTTCCTCCCAGAATCCCCAGCCTCATGATCAGACCCTGGTACACCACAGCACTGGTGAACCTGCGGGAGACAAGGAACATTTCTGTTTGTTTTTTTCCGAAGTTCTGTTCAGAATGAGATAACCCCGAAACTGTTACTTTAGATGAAAATAAGGAGCCCCTCCCCACGCCCCTCTGAGAGACATTTGGTTACAAAGAACTCAATGGTGCTCTAGGAGGAGATTCAGGTGATAAGGGGGGGGGGGGTTACCTTGGTTGCTGATTGGCTAATGGTTACACAAGACAACACATCGTTATGACATCATAAAGTGGCCAAAATCTGATCAGCTCATTTTCAGACAGGTTTTTATAGAAATGGATCAAAAAGAGAGAGAATCTTTGTTCCTGAAACTTTCAGAGTCTCTTTCCACAGAGGGGACACATGTTGATGTAGAAGAGACATGAAGAAGAGGGGACACATGTTGATGTAGAAGAGACATGAAGAAGAGGGGACACATGTTGATGTAGAAGAGGACATGGAGAAGAGGGGACACATGTTGATGTAGAAGAGACATGATGAAGAGGGGACACATGTTGATGTAGAAGAGACATGAAGAAGAGGGGGACACATGTTGATGTGGAAGAGACATGAAGAAGAGGGGACACATGTTGATGTAGAAGAAACATGGAGAAGAGGGGACACATGTTGATGTAGAAGAGACATGGAGAAGAGGGGACACATGTTGATGTAGAAGAGACATGAAGAAGAGGGGACACATGTTGATGTAGAAGAGACATGAAGAAGAGGGGACACATGTTGATGTAGAAGAGACGTGAAGAAGAGGGGACACATGTTGATGAAGAAGAGACATGAAGAAGAGGGGACACATGTTGATGTAGAAGAGACATGAAGAAGAGGGGACACATGTTGATGTAGAAGAGACATGAAGAAGAGGGGACACATGTTGATGTAGAAGAGACATGAGGAAGAGGGGACACATGTTGATGTAGAAGAGACATGAAGAAGAGGGGACACGTGTTGATGAAGAAGAGACATGAAGAAGAGGGGACACATGTTGATGTAGAAGAGACATGAAGAAGAGGGGACACATGTTGATGAAGAAGAGACATGAAGAAGAGGGGACACATGTTGATGTAGAAGAGACTTGAAGAAGAGGGGACACATGTTGATGTAGAAGAGACATGAAGAAGAGGGGACACATGTTGATGTAGAAGAGACATGAAGAAGAGGGGACACATGTTGATGTAGAAGAGACATGAGGAAGAGGGGACACATGTTGATGTAGAAGAGACATGAAGAAGAGTGGGACACATGTTGATGAAGAAGAGACATGAAGAAGAGGGGACACATGTTGATGTAGAAGAGACTTGAAGAAGAGGGGACACATGTTGATGTAGAAGAGACATGAAGAAGAGGGGACACATGTTGATGTAGAAGAGACATGAAGAAGAGGGGACACATGTTGATGTAGAAGAGACTTGAAGAAGAGGGGACACATGTTGATGTAGAAGAGACATGAAGAAGAGGGGGACACATGTTGATGTAGAAGAGACATGAGGAAGAGGGGACACATGTTGATGTAGAAGAGACATGAAGAAGAGGGGGACACATGTTGATGTAGAAGAGACTTGAAGAAGAGGGGACACATGTTGATGTAGAAGAGACTTGAAGAAGAGGGGACACATGTTGATGAGGAAGAGACTTGAAGAAGAGGGGACACATGTTGATGAGGAAGAGACATGAAGAAGAGGGGACACATGTTGATGTAGAAGAGACATGAAGAAGAGGGGACACATGTTGATGAGGAAGAGACTTGAAGAAGAGGGGACACATGTTGATGAGGAAGAGACATGAAGAAGAGGGGACACATGTTGATGTAGAAGAGACTTGAAGAAGAGGGGACACATGTTGATGTAGAAGAGACTTGAAGAAGAGGGGACACATGTTGATGAGGAAGAGACATGAAGAAGAGGGGACACATGTTGATGTAGAAGAGACATGAAGAAGAGGGGACACATGTTGATGAGGAAGAGACATGAAGAAGAGGGGACACATGTTGATGTAGAAGAGACTTGAAGAAGAGGGGACACATGTTGATGTAGAAGAGACATGAAGAAGAGGGGACACATGTTGATGTAGAAGAGACATGAAGAAGAGGGGACACATGTTGATGTGGAAGAGACATGAAGAAGAGGGGACACATGTTGATGTAGAAGAAACATGGAGAAGAGGGGACACATGTTGATGTAGAAGAGACATGGAGAAGAGGGGACACATGTTGATGTAGAAGAGACATGGAGAAGAGGGGACACATGTTGATGTAGAAGAGACATGAAGAAGAGGGGACACATGTTGATGTAGAAGAGACATGATGAAGAGGGGACACATGTTGTTTGATGTAAGAAGAGACATGAAGAAGAGGGGACACATGTTGATGTGGAAGAAGACATGAAGAAGAGGGGGACACAGTTGATGTAGAAGAAACATGGAGAAGAGTGGGACACATGTGATGTAGAAGAGACATGGAGAAGAGGGGACACATGTTGATGTAGAAGAGACATGGAGAAGATGGGGACACATGTTGATGTAGAAGAGACATGAAGATCGAAGGGGACACATGTTGATGTAGAAGAGACATGAAGAAGAGGGGACACATTGTTGATGTAGAAGAGACGTGAAGAAGGAAGGGGACACATGTTGATGAAGAAGAGACATGAAGAAGACGGGGACACATGTTGATGTAGAAGAGACATGAAGGAAGCAGGGGACCCCCATGTTGATGTAGAAGAGCATGAAGAAGAGGGGACACATGTTGATGTAGAAGAGACATGAGGAAGAGGGGACACATGTTGATGTAGAAGAGACATGAAGAAGAGGGGACACGTGTTGATGAAGAAGAGACATGAAGAAGAGGGGGACACATGTTGATGTAGAGAGACATGAAGAAGAGGGGACACATGTTGATGAAGAAGAGACATGAAGAGAGGGGACACATGTTGATGTAGAAGAGACTTGAAGAAGAGGGGACACATGTTGATGTAGAAGAGACATGAAGAAGAGGGGACACATGTTGATGTAGAAGAGACATGAGGAAGAGGGGACACCATGTTGATGTAGAAGAGACATGAAGAAGAGGGGACACATGTTGATGAAGAAGAGACATGAAGAAGAGGGGACACATGTTGATGTAGAAGAGACTTGAAGAAGAGGGGACACATGTTGATGTAGAAGAGACATGAAGAAGAGGGGACACATGTTGATGTAGAAGAGACTTGAAGAAGAGGGGACACATGTTGATGTAGAAGAGACATGAAGAAGAGGGGACACATGTTGATGTAGAAGAGACATGAAGAAGAGGGGACACATGTTGATGTAGAAGAGACTTGAAGAAGAGGGGACACATGTTGATGTAGAAGAGACATGAGGAAGAGGGGACACATGTTGATGTAGAAGAGACATGGAGAAGAGGGGACACATGTTTGATGTAGAAGAGACATGAAGAAGAGGGGACACATGTTGATGTAGAAGAGACATGAAGAAGAGGGGACACATGTTGATGTAGAAGAGACATGAAGAAGAGGGGACACATGTTGATGTAGACGAGACATGAGGAAGAGGGGACACATGTTTGATGTAGAAGAGACATGAAGAAGAGGGGACACATGTTGATGTAGAAAGAGACTTGAAGAAGAGGGGACACATGTTGATGTAGAAGAGACATGGAGAAGAGGGGACACATGTTGATGTAGAAGAGACATGAAGAAGAGGGGACACATGTTGATGTAGAAGAGACATGGAGAAGAGGGGACACATGTTGATGTAGAAGAGACATTGGACGAAGAGGGGGACACATGTTGATGTAGAAGAGACATGAAGAAGAGGGGGACACATGTTGATGTAGAAGAGACATGGAGAAGAGAGGGACCCACATGTTGAATTGTAGAAGAGACCTGACAGAAGAGGGGACACATGTTGATGTCGAAGAGACACTGGAGAAGAGGGGACCACATGTTGATGTAGAAGAGACATGAAGAAGAGGGGACACATGTTGATGTAGAAGAGACATGGAGAAGAGGGGACACATGTTGATGTAGAGAGACTTGAAGAAGAGGGGACACATGTTGATGTAGAAGAGACCTTGAAGAAGAGGGGACACATGTTGATGTAGAACAGACATGAAGAAGAGGGGACACATGTTGATGAGGAAGAGACATGAAGAGCAAGAGGGGACCACATGTTATGTAGAAGAGACTGAAGAAGAGGGGACACATGTTGATGTAGAAGAGACATGAAGAAGAGGGGACACATGTTGATGTAGAAGAGACATGAAGAAGAGGGGACACATGTTGATGAGGAAGAGACATGAAGAAGAGGGGACACATGTTGATGTAGAAGAGACATGAAGAAGAGGGGACACATGTTGATGTAGAAGAGACTTGAAGAAGAGGGGACACATGTTGATGTAGAAGAGACGTGAAGAAGAGGGGACACATGTTGATGTAGAAGAGACATGAAGAAGAGGGGACACATGTTGATGTAGAAGAGACATGAAGAAGAGGGGACACATGTTGATGTAGAAGAGACATGAAGAAGAGGGGACACATGTTGATGTAGAAGAGACATGAAGAAGAGGGGACACATGTTGATGTAGAAGAGACATGAAGAAGAGGGGACACATGTTGATGTAGAAGAGACATGAAGAAGAGGGGACACATGTTGATGTAGAAGAGACATGAAGAAGAGGGGACACATGTTGATGAGGAAGAGACATGAAGAAGAGGGGGACACATGTTGATGTAGAAGAGACATGGAGAAGAGGGGACACATGTTGATGTAGAAGAGACATGAAGAAGAGGGGACACATGTTGATGTAGAAGAGACATGAAGAAGAAGGGGACACATGTTGATGTAGAAGAGGACATGAAGAAGAGGGGACACATGTTGATGTAGAAGAGACATGAAGAGAGGGGGACACCATGTTGAGTAGAACGAGACATGAAGAAGAGGGGACACATGTTGATGTGGAAGAAGACATGAAGAAGAGGGGACACAGGTTGATGTAGAGAGCACATGAAGAAGAGGGGACACATGTTGATGTAGAAGAGACATGAAGAAGAGGGGACACATGTTGATGTAGAAGAGACATGAAGAAGAGGGGACACATGTTGATGTGGAAGAGACCTGAAGAAGAGGGGACACATGTTGATGTAGAAGAGGACATGAAGAAGAGGGGGACACATGGTTGATGTAGAAGACACATGAAGCAAGAGGGGACACATGTTTGATGTAGAAGAGACATGAAGAAGAGGAGACACTGGTTGATGTAAAGAGACATGAAGAAGAGGGGACACATGTTGATGTAGAAGACACATTAAGAAGAGGAGACACATGTTGATGTAGAAGAGACATGAAGAAGAGGGGGACCATGTTGATGTAGAAGAGACATGAAGAAGAGGGGACACATGTTGATGTAGAAGAGACATGAAGAAGAGAGGACACATGTTGATGTAGAAGAGACATGAAGAAGAGGAGGACACATGTTGATGTAGAAGAGACATGAAGAAGAGGGACACATGTTGATGTAGAAGAGACATGAAGAAGAGGGGACACATGTTGATGTAGAAGAGACGATGAAGAAGAGGGGACACATGTTGATGTAGAAGAGACATGAAGAAGAGGGACACATGTTGATGTAGAAGGAGAATGAGAGAGGGGACACATGTTTATGTAGAAGAGACATGAAGAAGAGGGGACACATGTTGACTGTGGAAGAGACATGAAGAAGATGGGGACACATTTTGATGTAGAAGGAGACATGAAGAGACATGAAGAAGAGGGGGACACATGTTGATGTAGAAGAGACATGGAGAAGTGGATTTTGCATAACAGGTGACCTTTAACATTAACACTGCAGCTTGTTAAGGTGTCTGTAAAGTAAAGCAATTATTTAACCTCTGTACATTTTATGTTACACCACTAGTTTAGGATTTCATGTTGTTAGATTAATCTAATCTCACACCTACAATCCAATCTGAAAACCCACAGCTGTTAACGAACATAATGAGCTTTCAAGAAGTAAAATAAGATTTCATTTGACTGCTATACTAAGTTAGCACTTTTTACTAAGTTAGCACTTTTTACTAAGTTAGCACTTTTGACTAAGTTAGCACTGAAGAATGTCTTACTTTAATTGAGCACATTTACCATCAACACTGATTGAAAATCCACATACAATGTGTCAAATGTTCCTTTCAAGTAATTTGTTTCAGACTGAAAGGCACCCTGGGAGTTGTAGTCATCTACTCTAATCTCAGTCAAAATGTCATGAAACATAAACATTGTAATTTGTAGCTACAATCACATTCTTACTCACCAGTTGAAGCTGAGGATGAGAGTGTTTTTTCTCATGTTTGGAGTTCTGATCAGGTCCATGAAGGAGGCGGTGCGGGATTGTGCGTTATCATCCGTCAGAGTCTGCAGAAGATGCACCATTTCAAATACTTAACAATTCATATAAACAAAGCGCTGATTCGGCAATGCAGCGGATGGGTGTGTGCAACATTTTCAATATCGTGCTCGCTTTTGAAAAATGTAAGAAAGCGGTGTTAAAAGCAGGAAATACAGTTTGAAAAAAAGTGTTTTTCTTTTCCTTAACTCTATTTTACCAGATGCATTTTGTTTGTTTTTTAAAATCCCAGCAGTACCTCGATGTTCTTGGACAGCGTCTTCTTGTTCTCTTTGGCCATGGCCTGCGTGATCTTCACAGCTTTGGCATTCTGTTTCTGAGAGAGAAGCCATCGGGGAGACTCTGGGATAAACCTGCAGATACAAAACTCTCATCAAGCAAACACAACAACGTTCGTATTGTTGCCTGCAAATATACAAGGTTTTAATACTGCGAGGTCCAATGGGACATCCAGCTTAGGAGAAACCATCATACCAATGAATTATGTACACCAAAAGCAGGGAACTAAAAGTGTTGAAGCTGCAAGAATGAATGTCTGCTAAGGAAGCTTCAAAGGTCAAAATAAAGCCTTTATATGAACCCTGCTATTGGACATGATGAGTCCATAGTTCACAATGCACTATAGTGTGGTTGTAAGTCGACGTAACATCGTTTTACAGCGGCTTACATGTTTCAATTTGTTTGGACTTCAATAGAAATGAATTGGGGAATGAATGTATACCTGAGTATTAATAATGTATCCATTCTTGTATTTGTAATATTATTATTACTATTATTTCTTTTTGGATTTGTCATCTGTTATGTAGTTAATCTATATATGTGTTTATTTAGTTACGTATGCTTTGTGATGGAGATAATTCATACTGGAAAAGTGACCATAGCTCTACCATCCAAAGTCATTGCCCCCCGCACACAGAGAGAGAGGGAGAGAGTTAGGCCCCGCCCCCCGCCACATACAGGCACAGGGAGATCGCTCTTCTGGAGTGAAGAGAGCGGAAATAATGATATTTCAAGTTAGAAGCGTAAAATGCGTTTTGACCGACAAGACGGACACTTGGGGGAAATATGCTGCATTTTGAATGTCCGATAGTCCACCATTAACACCTTAGTCCCGTCTGGTCTCGTCAACGAAAACTAAATATATATTTCGTCATAGTTTTCGTTGACGTAATTAACACTGTAGTTATGAAAATGAAAATCTTAAGTCACAGGCTCCTCCAACAGTGCAACACAATACAACAGATCCAATAGTGAAAGGAGAGTCTATATACATATATGATGTATTAGATGAATAATGTGTAAGTTGCAAACAGATGAATGTTATGGATGTTCTTTCTAAGGTGTTTAACAGTGTGATGGCCTGTGGGATGAAACTGAGAACCGGTTCCCTCCATGTTTAAAGCATTACATTGTGTTTTCTCACCAGTAGTATGAGAGGAAGATGAAGTAAGGGGCGGTGATGGCGACCTGCAGCCAGCGCCAGTCAGAGATTAAGTATGCGAGCAGAGGGAGGATGAGGATGCCGACGCTGAAGAACATCTGGTACAGGACCCCCACTGTGCGTCTGTACTCCACCCCCACCAGCTCCGTGACTGAGAGGATAACAATAACAACGTGTTTTGATAATAATAATAATAACAAAGCTGGTTGTTAGAGCCAGCATTTTGTTTTTATAAGAAAGGCCAACTAATTGTGACGTCTGTAGTCAACCTGTTTTCCTCTTGAGCATTTTGCTTTGATTCTGCAATGCTTTGGACGAGGTGTACGACGTACAAAATAAATACAATGTGTCTGCTTTTTTACGGAATATTAGACACTTTACTAACACTATGAAAGACTACAATCCCCACGGCGCCTCCTCTAAAGTGACGGACGTTCAATTACCCTTTAAGTTATCGAGTTATATAAGCCTTATCAAGACAGAAAGAAGTTGTTTGTTATTTTCTTTGAGTTTTGACTGTAAAGGCCTCTTTTCTCTGCACGTGTCAAAGTTTGTTATTTATCGTATAATATCATCCAAACAAGGGATGGGAACGATGAATCGATTATTCAAAATGATTCAGGTATTCGAATATGGGTTATGAATATTTTTTATTATTCTTCTTTCTTTTGTTGTTGGGAGGGGTGCCGAAGTTGATTACATATGATCAAATGGAATAATTCAATGTATACGACAGTGCCATAGCTAAGTGTGTTCGGTCTAAAGGTGTGTTGCTCCGCTCACCGGTCCCTCACAGCGGGCAGAGCTGCTGATCTCTCTCTCTCTCTCTCGCGTCCGGTTATACTTCACTCGCGTTTATGTCCAAATCCATCAGATCTAGTTCTAGATAACGATATGGCTGCTGCCCCTCCCTACACGCAGACTCAAACCTCATCTTATGCTCAAATCCCAGCTGAGAGGGTCTTCTCTACAGCTGGCCTGGTTGTGAATCGCACCCGCCTCTCCCCTGAGTAGACATGCTCATATTCTTAAAGAACAATGAGTATTGAATAGCTCCATTCTGTGCATAGCCCTGTTACAGGTTGTTGATCTCTGTTGTCACGGGTTACGTTACCCTAACCCGTTATGTTGTTCGTGTCTGATCCCTCTTTCATCTAAAAACCAAGTTATGTTTTAAGCATGAAAGCTGTAGGCCTATAGCTGTCAACTGTGATCACCAGTTCAATACATTTGACACATTCGACTTGGTGTGTATAGGGTATGTAGATTTCGGCTAATCGGTTAACCGTTTTTTTGTGAGTCTAATATAATCGAATATTCATTTGATTTCAAATTCCCATCCCTAGTCCAAACCGTCGGAGGCAAAGCAACTCTTCAACTGTAAGTAATATAAAGGAAAGAAAACGAGTAAAACATATCTGTTTAAGGCGTCTAGTGGCTTGATAGAAAAACAAGGAAGGGACATTGGTGTTAGAAGTCTGTAAATCCCAGCTGTGGGGTCAAAGGTCGTTCTTACGCAGCACGTATCCGGCCACCCAGCCTCCTTTCACTCCGAAGCCGCACAGCGTCCTGAAGACCAGTAACGCCACGTAGTTCGGAGCCATGGCCACCATGATCCCCGTGACCGCGTTCAGCACGTTGGACATCAGGAAGCTGATCTTCCTGCCGAACCTGAGAAGAGTTAGAGAAACGATGACAGAAATAATGCTTTATAAAACAGGTTTATGTAGCAGCAATGTATGAGTAGATAGCTTGTTCCACACTCATGTAAAAGATCACCTGTTTTCCTCTTTAGCATTTTGATTTGATTCTGCAATGCATTGGAATTGCACGTCAGATACTTTACTAATCACTTTTCTGATATTTTATTTTCTGTCAAAAACAGATTGAGACTAATATTAAGCTCACCTGTCCGCCAGGTAGCCGATGGCGATGCTCCCCACCAGGAAGCCCACGTTGAGCGAAGCCTGGTACAAATCCACCAACCATCCATCTGCACACACCAGGTCAAACTAACACACACACACACACAGGTTAGTCATGAAAGGATTTCTCTCTTCTCATGCTGGTGGCTATTTTTGTTAAATCTCATATATTCCTTTTAAATAAATGTATATTTCTGCACCAAACATGCACGACACAACTTGGGAAACAGTGAGTTGTAAGAAGACAATTATATTAGCATTGTTTCTTCCTTTGTTACTAACCTCAGTAACAAAGGACTGTCTCCCCTCGTAGTCGTACTCCCAGCCGTCCTTGCAGGCAGCCGTTGTTGGGATTCTGCTGAGGGCCAGCTCCCCTGAATCACAGCTGAGAGCCGTGGAGTTCCAGTCCACCTCGTACCGCTCACAGCTGCTCTCAGATCTGTTCCCCTGAGACACCGTCAGCCTGCGAGCCTCCGTCAGGCTCCATCCACACGTCTGCCTCCTCTCCACCACCGCGGGGTCTCTGCACCAGTGATCCGGGGTGAATCCCTGGAAGACGATGCCCACGTAGACCCCGGCCCAGGGCATGGACACCAAGCAAAACAGGGCGAAGATCCGCTTCTGACAGCGGCCAAACGTCCCCACTTCCTCCAAGATGTCGTCAAAAGTGGTCATGGCTAAAGAAAGCTCTTTAAAAAACAGCTCACAAATAATTGAAAAGACAGTGTGTGCAGCCTTGATAGTGAGCTCTGAGCATCTCTCTACTGAGGTATCGCTGACATGTCTTTGGCTTTGGGTTTTTAAACAGGACAAGAAGGAGCAAAGGTCCTCAGAAAGACGTTGTTGCTTACGGTGAAAAAGGTGGAACATTAAAACGATCAGCTTTCTCAGACGTCAGAACAAGTGTGTCATTTTAATGTGTAACACAGGAGTCAGAAACATACAGTAAATGCATCACAAGGGCCTCCCTGGACCGCTGGGCTTTGCGTCTCGTGTGCAGCAAGTTAGTGATGCTGTTAATCAGTGATCTGAGGAAAGGCTACTTGTTTTACATGTTTTCTGCGGACGTCAGAGTTGTCTTTGAGTCGCTTGAGCCTTGGACGTTAAGAAGTTAATATATTGGACAACGTTCATGTCATTCAAACACATCTAATAGTCTAGCAGCAAGTCCTCAAAGCAGGCTTTAGTTTTTGAGATTTGACTTGAACTCATCTTGATAAGACTTGATCTGGACATGTTGAATGAAACTAAATTGTAACTTATTTTTGACTTCATTTGGACTCTTGGTTGTTCTTTAGAACTAACTACCCCTGAAAAAGAGCCAAATTGGACCAGGTCGAATGGGAAAGGTGACAAAAAAGCCCATAACTTGAGAGTGACCTCTCTTATCCTCTTCAGATTTGCTGAGGTATGAACCAGGTGGCTGTCCTACATCACCAAATAGTCAGACAATTATTTAACTAAAGAAACACTGAATTATAGACCTGTAAACTTAGCTTTAGTTTAGACGGAAATTGTACTTTTGGTGATAGGAACATAGGACTCAGAAAAACAGAAATCCCTAAAAGATATACCATTGCTGATTGGTCGAGGGTGCTACTGAACACTAACCAGTAGGTGCTATTGAACACTAACCAGTAGGTGCTATTGAACACTAACCAGTAGGTGCTATTGAACACTAACCAGTAGGTGCTACTAAACACTAACCAGTAGGTGCTATTGAACACTAACCAGTAGGTGCTATTGAACACTAACCAGTAGGTGCTACTGAACACTAACCAGTAGGTGCTATTGAACACTAACCAGTAGGTGCTACTGAACACTAACCAGTATGTGCTACTGAACACTAACCAGTAGGTGCTATTGAACACTAACCAGTAGGTGCTTCTGAACACTAACCAGTAGGTGCTACTGGACACTAACCAGTAGGTGCTATTGAACACTAACCAGTAGTTGCTGTTGAACACTAACCAGTAGGTGCTACTGAACACTAACCAGTAGGTGCTATTGAACACTAACCAGTAGGTGCTATTGAACACTAACCAGTAGGTGCTATTGAACACTAACCAGTAGGTGCTATTGAACACTAACCAGTAGGTGCTACTGAACACTAACCAGTAGGTGCTATTGAACACTAACCAGTAGGTGCTATTGAACACTAACCAGTAGGTGCTACTGAACACTAACCAGTAGGTGCTACTGAACACTAACCAGTAGGTGCTACTGAACACTAACCAGTAGGTGCTACTAAACACTAACCAGTAGGTGCTACTGAACACTAACCAGTAGGTGCTATTGAACACTAACCAGTAGGTGCTATTGAACACTAACCAGTAGGTGCTACTGAACACTAACCAGTAGGTGCTATTGAACACTAACCAGTAGGTGCTATTGAACACTAACCAGTAGGTGCTATTGAACACTAACCAGTAGGTGCTATTGAACACTAACCAGTAGGTGCTACTGAACACTAACCAGTAGGTGCTACTGAACACTAACCAGTAGGTGCTATTGAACACTAACCAGTAGGTGCTATTGAACACTAACCAGTAGGTGCTACTGAACACTAACCAGTAGGTGCTACTGAACACTAACCAGTAGGTGCTATTGAACACTAACCAGTAGGTGCTATTGAACACTAACCAGTAGGTGCTATTGAACACTAACCAGTAGGTGCTATTGAACACTAACCAGTAGGTGCTATTGAACACTAACCAGTAGGTGCTACCGAACACTAACCAGTAGGTGCTACTGAACACTAACCAGTAGGTGCTATTGAACACTAACCAGTAGGTGCTACTGAACACTAACCAGTAGGTGCTATTGAACACTAACCAGTAGGTGCTACTGAACACTAACCAGTAGGTGCTATTGAACACTAACCAGTAGGTGCTATCGAACACTAACCAGTAGGTGCTACTGAACACTAACCAGTAGGTGCTATTGAACACTAACCAGTAGGTGCTACTGAACACTAACCAGTAGGTGCTATTGAACACTAACCAGTAGGTGCTATTGAACACTAACCAGTAGGTGCTATTGAACACTAACCAGTAGGTGCTATTGAACACTAACCAGTAGGTGCTACTGAACACTAACCAGTAGGTGCTACTGAACACTAACCAGTAGGTGCTATTAAACACTAACCAGTAGGTGCTACTGAACACTAACCAGTAGGTGCTATTGAACACTAACCAGTAGGTGCTATTGAACACTAACCAGTAGGTGCTATTGAACACTAACCAGTAGGTGCTACTGAACACTAACCAGTAGGTGCTACTGAACACTAACCAGTAGGTGCTATTGAACACTAACCAGTAGGTGCTATTGAACACTAACCAGTAGGTGCTATTGAACACTAACCAGTAGGTGCTATTGAACACTAACCAGTAGGTGCTATTGAACACTAACCAGTAGGTGCTACTGAACACTAACCAGTAGTTGCTACTGAACACTAACCAGTAGGTGCTACTGAACACTAACCAGTAGGTGCTACTGAACACTAACCAGTAGGTGCTATTGAACACTAACCAGTAGGTGCTATTGAACACTAACCAGTAGGTGCTACTGAACACTAACCAGTAGTTGCTACTGAACACTAACCAGTAGGTGCTACTGAACACTAACCAGTAGGTGCTATTGAACACTAACCAGTAGGTGCTACTGAACACTAACCAGTAGGTGCTATTGAACACTAACCAGTAGGTGCTATCGAACACTAACCAGTAGGTGCTATTGAACACTAACCAGTAGTTGTATGGAAATATCTGGTACAGTTCTATTGCAAATGAGATTTCTTTAGACATAGGCCTAGCTCTTCTCTGAGACAGTCAAACTCCGAATGGGGGAGAAGTGGCACAATAGCTTATAAGTTAAGAATGCTCACTCTGAGGGTCATTATATTTGGAGAGGGAAATACCAGGTGGCTCCATCACCAAATAGTCAGAATAAGAGTAACCCAATCAAATAAAGTGTATTAGTTCTGAATGGCAAGCCTCTAAACCATAGGTGTAAATAGTACAGGTTGTATTGAAACTGGAACCTTAACTCCAAGTACAATATACAATCCATCAAATCATTCTGTGAGAGGTCAAGTATCTAGATACTAGAAGCGTTAGGGGACACACTCCGTAGAGGGAAGGCCAACAGAGAGGCCTGGAACTTTCCACTGCCTCCACACTTTGCATCTTTGCAATACAAGACTGTATGACTCCATAACAAGGGTTTGGGTTCGGGCTGGGACACCATATCGCTGTCTGGAACATTGCTCTTCACATGTTGAAATGCATAATCTGTTGGCGGCAGATTTTGCGAGGCTGCATCTGTTGTTGATGCAACAAGTTTGTGCACAACAGTCCATTTTCCTTTTTCCATATAGCAGAAGCACAATTCTCTTGCGACTGGCAAAGACTCTTCCGAGCTGGCAGAGAGTCCACAATGGGCCAGATCTTTGAGCTCGCTCAGATGGGTCTTGAGTTTGGTGAATGCTGTTGTCTTTCCTATTCTGTACAAACTACTTGTTGAGCCACAGCCAGTGAGTGCACGACATGCTGGGAGACAGTTAGACGTGTGGTTTCCGCCCAGCTTCAGGACCATCTCCAACTAAACGGCCTCTTTGAGAAATTCCAGTCCGGTTTCCGTCCCGCCCACAGCACTGAACCAGCTCTGGTCAGGGTCACAAAACGACCTGCTGATGCTGTTGTCTTCCTATTCTGTACAAACTACTTGTTGAGCCACAGCCAGTGAGTGCACGACATGCTGGGAGACAGTTAGACGTGTCTTTTCCAATGTTCTCACATGTGGTGTTGATGGGGACATCTCTCTCTCATTCCATGGCCTGCATGCATGTACACTAGAGATGAACCAAACATGTATTTGCTTGCATAATATATGAGCAGTACTTCCACACCTGTGTCATCAGACCTCGCAATGATGCGGGAATATGACTCTGCAAGATGTATGGAGCACCATCCTTGTGTCTGCCTCCTCCTGATCAATGTACAGTGATGTCAAACTGCTGACTCCTGCTGTGCAGATGCTCTTCACCTTCTCCCCCTCAACAATCTGGCCCATTGTGGACTCTCTGCCAGCTCGCAAGAGTCTTTGCCAGTCGCAAGAGAATTGGGCTTCTGCTATATGGAAACAGAAAAAGGAAAATGGACTGATGTGCACAAACTTGTTGCATCAACAACAGATGCAGCCTCGCAAAATCTGCCGCCAACAGATTATGTATTTCAACAACATGTTCCAGACAGCGATATGGTGTCCCAGCCCGAACCCAAACCCTTGGTATGGAGTTATACAGTCTTGTATTGCAAAGATGCAAAGTGTGGAGAGAGTGGAAAGTTCCAGGCCTCTCTGTTGGCCTTCCCTGTACGGAGCTCTGCACCTGCTGTGCACAATGTCAACATGTGTGCCCTAACGTTTCTAGTATCTTTATACTTGACCTCTCACCGAATTATTTGATGATTTGTATACTGTACTTTGAGATAAAGGTGGGGTACGTTTGAGAAACCGGCTCGAGATACACTTTTTGTTATATTCCATGGAATGCTCTTAACATCCCGATAGCAATGAATATCTGAAGTGCTTTGACAATAAATACATAATAAAAGTAACTGGATGGCCTACCTGCCTGTCAGCCTTCCATCTGGGCACAAACTTATCTCGTGCCCTCATTGGTCATGTGCGCGTTCGTGTGTTGGAGGAGGGGCTCTGTAAGGAAGTAGCAGATTTCTTCCGGTTGTGTATTTTCAAATTCTAGCGCACTCGAGCTGGTTTCTCCAAAATGACCTTCCCCACCTTTGAGGTTCCAGTTTCAATAAAACCTGTACTATTACACACGGCATCTATTGCACGTCTGTCCGTCCTGGGAGAGGGATCCCTCCTCTGTTGCTCTCCCTGAGGTTTCTCCCATGTTCCCTTTAAACTGTGGGTTTTCTCTGGAAGTGTTTCCTTGTACGATGTGAGGGTCTAAGGACAGAGGGTCTAAGGACAGAGGGTCTAAGGACAGAGGGTCTAAGGACAGAGGGTATCGTATTGTCATTCTGATATTCTGTACACACTGTGAAGCCCACTGAGAAAAATGTAACATTTGTGATATTGGGCTATTTAAATAAACATTGATTGATTGATATTCACACCTATGTTTTAGAGGCTTGCCATTTAGAACTAATACACTTTATTTGATTGGGTTACTCTTATTCTGACTATTTGGTGATGGAGCCACCTGGTATTTCCCTAATTGTGTTTCATTCAACATGTCCAGATCAAGTCTTATCAAGATGAGTTCTGAGGTTGGTCTCTGGCTTATTCCTGTCCCAGCTGGACTACGGTGATACCATTTATAGATGTGCCTGTCCCACTGTGTTGGCCAAACTTGACCCACTGTACCATGCTGCACTGCGTTATATATCAAATGCACCCTATAGGACTCATCATGCACACTGTAGCCTAACTGGATGGTCCTCACTTAGTATGTGTAGGATGCAGCATTGGTTTTTATTAATGTAAAGCCATTTTAGGAAAGCTTCCACTGCACATATGTGCCAGATTTGCTCCAGTTTGTGACTCGCACAACCTCAGACCCAGTGCCTGGATACGGGTCCAGGTTCCTGCCGTGCGGACTGAGGCTGGGAAAAGGAGTCTTTTTCATTCTGGTCCTTGGTCTTGGAATGACCTTCAATCACGCCTCAAACTGAGGGCACTTGTCTCAATAGCATGTTTTAAATTGAAGTTGTCTGAAGTCCTTACCACCAGCTGCTCTTGCAGTAATAAGCAGTGTGCCTTTCTTACTGTCCCAATGTGCACAATGTAGTGACTGCTTTTTCGTCTTTTGTTTACTTAGTTGTGTTCTCTGTATTTTATATGTTTGTGTTATGTGTAACGTTGCTGCCTTCTTGGCCAGGTCAGCATTGCAAATGAGATTCTATCTCAATGCTTTTATCTGGTTAAATAAAGGTTTAATAAAAAATAAAAAAGTTCAAGTCAAATCTCATAAATGTTACCAGACTTGTCCATGTCACTCATCCTTTGAAACTCCTTTCCTGTCTTGTAAAAAGCTAGTCTCAAGTCATCAGGGATTGTTTCTGTGCAAATGGAGCCCCGAGTATTGAGTACATAAATGAACAACCTTTTCAGAAGGTCGAAATATCTGTATTATAAATCCTGTTTTTATTGGTCTTATCTAATATTATACTATTTTGAGAAACAGGATTAGTGATTTTCATGATCTGTAAACTAATCACAAGTAAAACAAAAAAGGCTTGAAATATTTCACTGTATGCATGTTTTTAATTAAATGACAGAAAAAAAGTTCTATGATATAGTAATTTTTTGAGAAGCTGTCGTCTAAAAGTAAGCTAGCAAGTAATATTCTGTTCCTTCAATTCAATTAGCTTTTGATTCAACCTCACATTAACGTTACTGTACCTTTGTCCCGTTTCTCCTCGTCTTTTATGTTCTTCTCTCCCCTGGGCGCCAGATAGCTTGGTTAGTTTCGACATGGTGATGGCTAACTATGATGAGCTAGTTAGCGTCTTTTCCCCCCGAGTCACGGCAGGTCAAGTGTCAGTCCAGAAATATCCCCCCTGCCCACCGGGGCACTTCAACTGACCTGACTAGGGGGGGGGGGGAGCCCCAAAGTTTATTGGCGCTGTACGCAATGTAGGCGTAGTTCTGTTAAGATAAGATAATAAGATGTACTTTATTGATTCCAAATTGGGAAATTGTTTTGTTATTAAGTATCATTAATAGTGTGAATTTTAGTTTTTCCTTCCTCACAAAGTTCGGCTCACCCCATGGATGGATGTGCCCTTAGCATTCGTCTATACTGCCTGTGCCAAGTGCCGGCCCTATGTCCAAACCAATGAGTGTACCCAGACAAGTCATGATACCTTTGCGGGGGTCCAGGTCACGTTGTGTGCCCTTTGAATCAGGGTCAAGTCTCAAGTCCTTTAAGACTCTAATGTTGCAGACCCTATCCCTCCGTAGTCTTTCAAGTAGGAGGAGAAATGCCGGCGTTCTCCGGTTTACATGTGTAAATTATATAGAATAATAATGATGATGAATGCATTTTTTTTTACCACTAAAAGACAGCAACACATCTTTGATTCATGTTGTTTATAACTGGATTATTACAAGTATTATTTACTTTGTCTGTACAAAGTAGCCTGTCCTGGAAACATGCCCAAATCATCAACAAGTATGTATACATTTTGTTTTATGTTAAACCCACGTTCAAACCAAAGTTAGTCAATACAAGTCCTTCCAAACAAGTCAAAGTCCAGATTCTGTGGAGTGTGTGTTTGTGAGTTATATCATGAGGCATGTTATCAGACCACAGCAGTGATAAACAGCAGATCGTATTTATTCAAATAATGCAATACTTTTTACATCAATGTTGTTTTTAAATAGGAAAACAGCTGAAAAACACATCAGACAACATAACGTACACCAACTGAATAATGATCTCCCATAGTACCCAATCATCAGAGAAAACTTCTTGTGCTTTTTTTTTTTAAAGTCGCTATACCCTCCTAGATCATTTGTCTGTATTTTAATTACTTTCCCATCTCTCTGCTCGAGTGCAGACAAAAAAAGCACAAGAAATGTCCGTTCATTTCTTCGCAGAGTACCATGCAGACGAGCCACGCTAACTTTGGTTGCTAAATACAGCAAAACAGACTTGATGCAACGATGGAAAATAAGAAGACTTCACATATTAAAAACGGTAGCATCCTTCTTCTCCGTAACGAGCAGTGCTCCGACTTTCACTCGTGAGATATGAGCTGAGTTCAAAGTGCCAAACACAGGTAGATGTAGTTCAAACCTCCTTCGAATGGATCAGGAAGTCAAACACTTTCAGGACAACAACTGAGGTTTACACGGAGTGGATGTTGGACTGAGGAGTGGTTTTAATTGATAGACATGGATTGTGGACAGTTATAATATCACTAATTGAATAGTTCTTTGGAAACCTGACCTATAAACTCTGCACTAAACCTCCATTTATTTGTCTTAAACTCTTTCTAACGCTTGTCTTAATGATGTGGTCGACAGGTGACATGATAATTGAGAATTTAGAACAAAATGTGCTTCAAATCTTTCTGGATATTTTACTTCTGGAAAATAAGTGACTGAACACCCGGAGCATGAGGAGACAGACATAATGTTTTTCTCTTCTTGTTAATTATTATGGGACATCCCAAACTCATCCATATAAAATACTGATTGTTTCCCATTTCAAGCTTTTAAAAAAAATCATTTTTCTGTGTGTTTTGGACAAATGGTATCCTAGAAAAATGCGTGTAAAAAGCTTTAGAAATACCTTGAAAGGTGAGCCTTCTTTGCACGACATGTTTTGATAATATCTCTAGTTCCTGTGGATTAAATACTGAAAAACACAATTGTGAATGTACTGTCGTAATTATGTAATTATGTAATTGATGTGAGCAATGCTCATTATGTTTGTGATGTCAAATCAATACGTTGTTCACGTTCTGTCAATTCATCAACAGGTGCTCTCCCAAGGTTGAACATTCACCAACAACAAGTTTGGAGTTCTTTCAGTTTGTCCAGGTGAGAATAAACCCCATTTCATACTGATATAAGAAAATGGACGATACTTGGGTCTGCAACTAATGGTTATTTTCATTATCATTTATCACCTTACACATAATCAAGTCTGTGATAAAAACAAAAGTGTCCCAGAGATTATTACTATTAAGAGTTTCAAAATATTGCTTGGAAAACACATTTGAAGACATCACCTTGGACTCTTGGAGGATTTATAACGGCCACTTTTCACTATTTTTTGACTTTTTAATAATGGAAAATGAAAATATGTTTTAGTTGCGGCCAAAACTACACGGGTGCAGATGTTCAGCTCTTTGTGGGTTTTTAAATTGCTCCTAATTGTATAACCGAAAAAGACAAAAAACGTTGTCTGGGTCCAAAGGAGCACAAATACTCTGTGTGTATACTGTGTAGGCTTGCTCAGTTAATGTGTGCACACTGTAGTTTGATTGACTTTACCCAGATATCTCTGCGCTGGATCTCCCATCTTTACACTAGTTAGATAATAAAGCAGACAATATGTTAAATGTAAGTAACCTGCTCGCATTCTTGACATTTTAATGCTTCATGCGTTTGGCTAAGAAGGGGCTGATTCCGGCACAACAGAATTGGCTTCGAAAGAAGAAGAAAAAAAATCGGACTTTTCAACGCAGCGACATCCACAATCACAGACCTGAGCCTTTAATGTACGACAGCGTGCAAGCGGAAACACAACTTCCCCACTTCAATACATTAGTGCCAGCGGCGGAGGGTAGAAATATGGCTTTTTGGACGGAGGAAGGGAAGGGGATTGAAAAGTGAAAAAAACCAAAACATTTCATATTTTTCTTTCAACCTCCGTCCTCGTCGACCATCCATTCACACTTAAGGCCATCTCTATTATTTCCACAAAGGACAGACACCCACTTAAATAATCATAAAAACAAATGTGTGAGTAATTCACCGGTGAGGACAACAAACAAACAAACAAAACGTCCATATTATAGAACATAATCCTCTATGTACAATGTCTCTGATCAAAACGAGATTTTTTATTATCAATCGGTCGCCGGACACGATTCATCAGGAAGGCATCGCGAGAGCTGTTATAGCAACTGTAAACAGCAAGAAAAGACGGGTGTCTTCATTCCCTTTAGAAACAACAAGCCGACACCTTCCCTGACACCCCTTTGTTTTTATTTGATAGCTTGTGTCTTTCTCCTAAAATATGCTTTCCATATCGAGCTACTTAATCGTACATCTTACCACAGTCATCACTCACAATCCTGGAAACTAAAAATCAACTCCAAATGTTTTCCTCGCCTGCAATGAGACATCAGTTAATCAATGCTACAATAAAGTGCTAAAGCAATGGCACGACTTCATTAAAAAACTCAAGAAATAAAAGAAAAATATAATTTAATGTTCAGCTTTTTAACTGACGTGCCTCGTTGCAAAGTCAAAGATGCTTTTTGTGCATCTGGGGTTGATTTGTAGTCTTTTATTCGATCAAAGTAACTAAACTAGGGAAAGTTATTTTAATTCAGAAATGATGACAGAAAATGTGAGAAAAAAAATAGGATGCGGGTCAAAAAACGACCCTTTTAAATAATCAGCTATCAATAAATAAGAACACCGACAGATCGAGTCTGAGGCCGAGAAAAGGTGCAGTCCAACATATACAAAATAAATCCCAAAAGAGAGGAAAGGTTTCTGCTTTCAATTTGCTGTTGGTGTGTCTTTGTTGCTGTTATGGAGACATTCACTGAGAGAGAAGAGTTCAGATTGGTTGAGAGCGGGAAGCAGGAAGAGACATCACACCCTGAGGAGGTCTTCGTCGCTGTCTTCGTCGTCCCGCTTCCTGTTTGCTGCCGTGTTGTTACCGTGATTAACGCCTGAGGAGCGAGGTTGGCTGCTCTTCCTGTCCTCGTCCTCCAGGAGGCCCACCAGGTCCTCGTCGCTCTCCTCCTGGAGTCAAACACATCGGGGAGGGGGTTAGTGAACAACATTTTCAGAAGATGGCACAGAGACACGTTATAGAAATGTAAATACAGAGAAAGGTCACACGAATCAGAATCTTTTTTTGTGTCCCAGGCAGAGGTTGCGCTGCCCGTTATTTTGACGGACAGGATCGTACAATTTCCGTCAATATACATTATCACCCGTCGGTCTGTACACAACTCTGACGGGGGGACGACGCACACTCGCTCGTGAACTGTTAGCGCCGTGTTATGCATGCCCACTGCACCTCGCGGGAGCGCAGCGTAAAGCACTCGCAGACATTTCAATGATCTGTCCGGCAAATGTAGGTTTGGAAACTATATCATATACTTTTGGCCGGGCATGCATAACACGGCATAACACCGGAGCCCCTCTGCGGGGAAACTTTGGCGCTGTTCCGACGGCTTTCAGTTTTTCCGTCATTGTTAAAAAAAAAAACGTCATAGACGGAAAATATTCGGTTAACCTCTGGTCCCAGGGGGAAATGTGGTTCGGTGGCAGTTGCTCGATTTAGAATAAAATGAAATGATATGATAAAGAAAAAGTTAAAGAAAGCAGATAGATAGATAGATCGATTAAGTAGATACATGTGTAGATATTTCAAACGACCCCTATGTACTTTTTTTATTTTATTTGACCAATTTCGTTCGGTATTTAATTTGCCATTTTTTGGCAAAACTTTTAATATAATGTGACCCAAATAAAACAATTTAAAAAAGAAAGCAGACGCAATATACAAACGTGTTCGAACGAGTTTGTAACTGAGACTGTATAAATAATAATACAAATTAAGATCACACATTTTTCAGATCAGAAACTTTTTTATTTCCCAGGGGGAAATGGGTTATGGGACAGTTGCTCGATTTTAGACTAAAATCAAATTATATCATTAAAGGAAAAGTGAAAGAAAGGAGACGCAATATACAAACGCGTTCGAAAGAGTTTGCTTCGAACACGTATGCCCTCTATAAAAGGGAACTGACCCCTAGATTCCACCGGGTCCGTCTGCGCCGCCGTTTTGTTCCGACTTCCTAAGGCGTCAAACCCCACCGGGCGCGTTTCAGAAGCTTGATTTGGGCATGTTTCCTGGACAGGCTACTTTGTGCAGACAAAGTTAGTAATAATTGTAATAGTCCAGTTATAAACGACATGAGTCAACGATGTGTTGCTGTATTTTAGTGGTAAAAAAATGCATTCATCATCATAATTATTCTATATAATTGACACAGTGCCTGTGAACCGGAGGAGAACGCTGGCATTTCTCCTCCTACTTGAAAGACTACGGAGGGATAGGGTCTGCAAAATGAGTTTCTTTTGGGGATTGACTGGATGCTCTGAACGTTCCACTTCCTGCTCGGCGCTATGCAAAGCCTTGCGTCGCGTCGAAAATAGACCAGCCGCCTATTTTTAGCGGAACCCAGCGCCGGGATGCTTCTGGGACGCTTCTAAGCCGTAAAGCGGTGGAATAACACCCATTGACTAGAGTGGCCGCGATCGCTGTGAACGCCGCGGCCGTTTATCCGTTACAGAGACTGAGCTCCAGGTAGGTATCCTGTCTGGTTTGAGCAGCAGGTAGAAACACCTGGACAGATGTCGTATCTCACCTGCAGGAAGGGGCTGTGACTGGCTGCAGAGAGGTGGGACAGAGCAGAGGATTTGACCCGGACCCCCGGGACGCTCAGCACCTCGTCCTCGCTGTCGTCGCTGTCGTCCTGCTCGTCCAGGGAGAACGAGCGCAGGCTGTCCGTGTTCACCGGCTTCGTTTTGATGTGGCCGTTTCCGTGACTACTCTTCCCCCGCTGTGAAGACGAGGAGGAAGAGGGAGGGCCTTCAAGCTCCTCCATCAGCCACTCCATCTCCTCCTCTCCAACTTCCTCGTCAACGTTCACCTGAGGATTACAAGTTGGTTCAAGATTCAAGGCTTTTATTGTCATGTGTACATAGCTACAGTGTACATCTTAGGTCACAGGCTCCTCCCACAGAGCAACACAATAAAACAGATAAAGTCAATTCACAGAAGTTCCGTCTTAATTCAAAACAAAGGGCAATAACCATCCAACAATTACTTTCTAGAATAATTGATAAGTTGTTTGGTCTATAAGATGTCAGAAAAAAGAGAGGGATGTCCATCACATCGCAGCAAACCAAGCTCCCAGGAAGTGCGCCGGGCTCTGAGGAAAATATTCGTTGTGGCCAAACGGCGGTACTGCACTTCCGTATCAGTCGCTGGGCCCGGAAACACTTTTTTCCATTGACTAACATTGGGAACGAGACGTCTGTAAATCGTTGGATAATTTTTTTGAAACTAAATAAACTACCCAGTATGAACGTTTGTAAAGCCCTTATTAAAAACATTCGTTCCTCAAGTTGTAAAATGTGCTAATAACGTTATTCTGAGAGTTATTTTCCTCGGCATTATGAACGCGCATTTAACCCACGGGACCGCGCCGCCCGGTACGTTCATGTGACGTGTTCAGCACTACATGAGTTTTACCTTTACCCATGGATGCACAATAAGAACGGATTATATGATTATATGAATACTTTCGTGACGTTTCGCTCTCTCAAGTTGGGCCATTTTGTCCTCATGCGCCAATGAGCAACTCTCATAGGAATGAACGCGGCCCCGCCTCCCACGCTGTATCCAGTTCTTATTATACATCCATGCAGCAAACTCACAAAGATATCAATTGAATATGATATAAACATTTCAAAGTCAGATTGTTATAAATAATTAGTTCAACCTACCTTGGAATATTTATAGGAGACTTGGTTGACTCTCCTGCAGCAGCCAGCCACTTTCTGGATCACCAGCTCTCTGTTGGGAGGAAATAAACAAGACAGACGTGTGTGAAGATTCTGCCAACATCTTTAAATGTTTTTCTGCGTTTGTCCCATGCTCCTGCTCTCACCTCCTCTCCCTCTTGTGCAGCAGGAGTCCCAGCAGGCACACGGTGAGACTGAGCAGCAGGGCGCTCAGCATCAGACTCATCGTCTGGCTGCGTCTGGCGATCACTGGAGTCTCACTGTCGTCGTCGTCGTAGGACTTTGCATCAATAGTTCTGCGAGAAAATGAAGAAGGCGAAGATATGTATACAGAAGATTTGTAGGGTATGTATGTATGTATGTATGTATGTATGTATTTATGTATGTATGTATGTATGTATGTCGGCTGCACAACGAGGGGTCAACAATGTGACACAATTAGTAATGTAATCTAATTATTAATCTAATATGTATATATGTTCATTTTCATTCATTTCTTATTTTATAGTTACTTTATCATTTTTATTTTTATCTTTGATTTTATTAATCTGTTCTGTCCTGTTTTTCATCCTTACCCTGTTGCTCTTAAACTACTGAATTAATAAAGGTGAGAGACAGACAGGTGAGAGACAGACAGGTGAGAGACAGACAGGTGGAGACAGACAGGTCAGACAGAGAGAGACAGGTGGAGACAGAGAGAGAGACAGATGGGTGGAGACAGAGAGAGAGACAGATGGGTGGAGACAGAGAGAGAGACAGGTGGAGACAGACAGGTGGAGACAGAGAGAGAGACAGATGGAGACAGACAGGTGGAGACAGAGAGAGAGACAGATGGGTGGAGACAGAGAGAGAGACAGGTGGAGACAGAGAGAGAGACAGATGGAGACAGACAGGTGGAGACAGAGAGAGAGACAGATGGGTGGAGACAGAGAGAGAGACAGGTGGAGACAGAGAGAGAGACAGGTGGAGACAGACAGGTGGAGACAGACAGGTGGAGACAGAGAGAGAGACAGATGGAGACAGACAGGTGGAGAAGAGAGAGAGACAGATGGGTGGAGACAGAGAGAGAGACAGGTGGAGACAGAGAGAGAGAGACAGATGGAGACAGACAGGTGGAGACAGAGAGACAGATGGGTGGAGACAGAGAGAGAGACAGATGGGTGGAGACAGAGAGAGACAGGTGGAGACAGACAGGTGGAGACAGAGAGAGAGACAGGTGGAGACAGATAGAGAGACAGATGGGTGGAGACAGAGAGGGAGACAGACAGGTGGAGACAGAGAGAGAGACAGGTGGAGACAGACAGGTGGAGACAGAGAGAGAGACAGATGGGTGGAGACAGAGAGAGAGACAGGTGGAGACAGAGAGGGAGACAGACAGGTGGAGAGAGAGAGAGAGACAGGTGGAGACAGACAGGTGGAGACAGAGAGAGAGACAGGTGGAGACAGACAGGTGGAGACAGAGAGAGAGACAGATGGAGACAGACAGGTGGAGACAGAGAGAGAGACAGGTGGAGACAGACAGGTGGAGACAGAGAGAGAGACAGATGGGTGAAGACAGAGAGAGAGACAGATGGGTGGAGACAGACAGGTGGAGACAGACAGGTGGAGACAGAGAGACAGACAGGTGAAAGAGCCGTGATTAAACGCCATCATGTTCCAAACCACTTCAAGGATTATTTCTGAAACAGTCTGGAGCTCAAAGGCTTTCTCTCTTGCCGGTTATACCACAAGGTGAGTTCCTTTTTACTTCCTGCTTCTTCACACACATGCTCTCCAGTACAGGTTAGCTCTGAGTGTTAGCGATGCTAATGTAAACACCGACCATATTACGTCCAAAACAGTCGGGCATTGTTTCTGATAGCAACGTTTCTGATTGGGCCGTGGGTCCACATTTCAGATATTACGTCATATCGGACGCAAATCTGGATCAGCTCCGTTGTTCTCCCGTTTTTAGAGATTTGGGTACGGAGGAAAAGAGAGAGGGTTTTATTTTCTGACGCTACGTGAGTTCCCTGACACACCGGGGACACATGTTTATGTATAAAAGACATCACAAAGTGCATTTCGCATGATAGGTCCCCTTTAACTCACGTGAGCCCACACACAGCATCCGTGTGCCACACAAACAGATACTGGCACTCGTCCGTCTCCAGCATGAACTCTGGGATGCCGACGCCTGCCGACGGGTTGCAGTGGAACATGATGGTGGACGACACCATTTTGGTTTTCTCACGTCCACAGGCCGACTCCGAGGGCACCATCACGTCCAGGTTCCCTCCTGTAGAGACGATAAGACATGAAGTTATTGTTAAATGAATTCGATATGTATGTTATAGGATAACAAGAGATGCAGCGAGAGGAGATTGAATTATTCCACTCAGGAAAAGTTATTTCAGTCAGTCTTCATTTTCTGTTAAAGCTGCTCAGCGATGGAACTAAATCCCATCTACAATCAGAGGCTAAACTACATTTAGTTTATTTAAAGGTCACCTATCATGCTATTTTTAGGCAATAGCATAGGTCTCAGATATATAAAAAACATGTCTATGAAGTGTTTTGCTCAAAATACCAAACAGATCACCCATTCTAGCCATGCATCATATCCCTCTATTCCACTTCCTGTTTCTAAAGGGCTGATTTGGGGGATAAAGCTTTACAAAAATAAAAAAATTGATAAAATAAAAAAGTAGGGGGCTGAGCTCATGTGGGACCCGGTTCCTTTTTACTTCCTGCTTCTTCACACACATGCTCTCCAGTACAGGTTAGCTCTGAGTGTTAGCGATGCTAATGTAAACACCGACTATATTACGTCCAAAACAGTCGGGCATTGTTTCTGATAGCAACGTTTCTGATTGGGTCGTGGGTCCACATTTCAGATATTACGTCATATCGGACGCAAATCTGGATCAGCTCCGTTGTTCCCCGTTTTTAGAGATTTGGGTACGGAGGAAAAGAGAGAGGGGTTTATTTTCTGACGCTGCGTGAGTTCCCTGACACACCGGGGACACATTGATGTATAAGACATCACAAAGTGCATTTTGCATGATCGGTCCCCTTTAAAACCAACTCAAAACACGGTTAGTGAGGAATCAGCTCTGCCAACACTTCTGCTCCTTAAACCCACTGTCTGTGTTTTAACATGTTCTTTTGTGTTATTTGTTTTGTTTATTGTTTTGTTTTTCATTTTGTATTAAGTATTCCAGAAATGTATGTTGCATGTTTTTATTTGATGGTATTTACTTGTTTAAAATGAAATGTGTCTTTAGGTTGACTTACAAAATCTGTCCAGGGACTCTGGATGAAAAATAACCTCTTGGCTAACTCTGGCACAGAAATGTTGATTAATGTGCACTGTGTCCAGTTAAATAAATGAATACATAAATAACTAGGATCAACACATTTTCCTGATATGGTAAGTTAGTGACTAAACTACCTTTGATGTAGTACTTGGCCTTGCTGGAGGATCCGATCCTGCGTCTGTACGTTGCGTTGAGTTTGACCTGACAGATGTTTGCTCCGATGCAGGTGGACAGCGAGGGGTTGGTGATGCCGGACAGCTGGATCTGGTACACGTAGCGGTCGCCGTTCGGACGGATGTCTCCGGACGCCTCGTGTTGGCTGAGGGGAGCAGGGGGAGAGAAAGGGTGTAAAGCAGGAGTGCATACACTTTTCCCTTGGAGAGCCAAAACTGATTCTTTCTCTTGTTTCTTTATCTCTAATGTATTCTATTGCATTATGAAATTATTTTTTGTAAGTGTTTTTGAGTACTTGGGAAAATCCCTATTTTTATTATTATCATATATTTATTATGCCTTTTTTATCTCACAAAAAAATATGTATTTTATAATTTATTTTATCCTATATATATTTTTAAAAAATATATATAAATTACTGTTTTTGCAAGAAAATCTAGTGAGTCAAATCTAATCCAATGTTGGGCCGCCCTGGTGTAAACAGACCAACACCAAAATCTTATTTCTGCAACAAGGTGGGACACATGTACATACACACTACATGAAGACATGTACAGAGATCAGCATTAAAGGTCCCCTAGTATACTGTTTTTCATCAATATATCACAGCTCTCAGATATATACAGAGCCTGTCTCTGATTGGCTGAAACACCAAACAGATCATTGCAGCATTACCCATAATCCCCTCTGTTTCAGCCCTGTTTCAAAAGTGCTGATTCTCTGTCTGTTACTTTAGATGAAAATAAGGAGCCCCTCCCACGCCCCTCTGAGAGACATCTGGTTAAAAAGAACACATTAGCCGATTTCAAACCAAGTACTTCGTGCCCCGGCAATTAGTACCCCAGGGCACAAAGTACCAACCGCGTTCACACCGGAATAAGTCCCTGAGGGAGGATTAGGCAAATGAAGCCGCTGACGTCACTTCTTCTTCTGCTGCTTTGGGTTTACTGGCAGGCCGCAAACCACTTCACGGCGTATACTGCCGCCCAAAGTCCCCGGCCGGAAGTCCCCGGAGTTGGGGACTGGCTTCAGTAGAAGCTGCTGGGAGTCCCAGCAGCTTCTACTGAAGCCTTCCGAGTAAATCGCCCGAACGCCGACACCTCCTCATCTCCACCGCTCCCATGTTTTTTTTGTGTTCCCATTAGTTATTCTCTCTCCGAATACAATGGCGGCTTCACAAAACTTTTCAGAGTTTTATGGGGCGTGGTTTGCAATTCGCCCAGCCAATAGAAATTGGTACTTTTTTGGTACCACCTCTCTAGCAGGCACGAAAAATGGGGGTAAAAGTTCCCGGCACTAAGTACTCTTTTTGGTGTGAACGCAACATAAGGGGTACTAACGGAACTAAATGGGAAAAGTACGGGGAAAAGTAGTCCGGTGTGAACGCGCCTAATGGTATTCTGGGAGGAGATGCAGGTGATAAGGTGGGTGGGGGGGGGTTACCTTGGTTGGTGATTGGCTAATGGTTACACAAGACAACACATCGTTATGACATCATAAAGTGGCCAAAATCTGATCAGCTCATTTTCAGACAGGTTTTTATAGAAATGGATCAAAAAGAGAGAGAATCTTTGTTCCTGAAACTTTCAGAGTGTCTTTACACAGAGGGGACACATGTTGATGTAGAAGAGACATGAAGAAGAGGGGACACATGTTGATGTAGAAGAGACATGAGAAGAGGGACACATGTTGATGTAGAAGAGACGTGAAGAAGAGGGGACACATGTTGATGTAGAAGACGAAGAAGAGGGACACATGTTGATGTAGAAGAGACATGAAAGAGGGGACACATGTTGATGTAGAAGAGACATGAGAAGAGGGACACATGTTGATGTAGAAGAGACGAAGAAGAGGGGACACATGTTGATGTAAGAGACATGAAGAAGAGGGGACACATGTTGATGTAGAAGAGACATGAAGAAGAGGGGACACATGTTGATGTAGAAGAGACATGAAGAAGAGGGGACACATGTTGATGTAGAAGAGACATGAAGAAGAGGGGACACATGTTGATGTAGAAGAGACATGAAGAAGAGGGATACACATGTTGATGTAGAAGAGACATGAAGAAGAGGGAGACAACATGTTGGATGTGAGAAAGAGACATGAAGAAGAGGGGACACATGTTGATGTAGAAAAGAAGACATGAAGAAGAGGGGACACAGTGTTGATGTAGAAGAGGACATGAAGAAGAGGGGGACACATGTTGAATGTAGAAGAGACATGGAGAAGAGGGGACACATGTTGATGTAGAAGAGACATGAAGAAGAGAGGACACAATGTTTGATGTAGAAGAGACATAAGAAGAGAGGACCATGTTGATGTAGAAGAGACATGGAGAAGAGGGGACACATGTTGATGTAGAAGAGACATGAAGAAGAGAGGACACATGTTGATGTAGAAGAGACATGAAGAAGAGAGGACACATGTTGATGTAGAAGAGACATGGAGAAGAGGGGACACATGTTGATGTAGAAGAGACATGAAGAAGAGAGGACACATGTTGATGTAGAAGAGACATGGAGAAGAGGGGACACATGTTGATGTAGAAGAGACATGAAGAAGAGGGGGCTCTACTTCTCACCTGAAGTAGAGCACTCCGAGGCTGAGGCTAGCTCCCGTGTCGGGGACCTTGATCGTCCCGTTCACCATCTCCACCTCATGCTGCTTCACCGCACACGCCGAGCGAGTCTCCCAGCCAATCACAAACTCACAGGAGGCCTCATCAAAACTGATAGCACAGAAACAGATAGCATCAATAATCATAAGGTATTCATATAGCAGCTTTAACAGAAGAAGGTTAGTGCTTGGTGGCAGATTGAGTAGTTCAGGACCTTTGTGAATTTAAAACCAAAGGAAGGAAAAGCTAATGCTGTGAAACCGTCAGGTTAAAGTTGAAACAAGTAATATTGTATTTGGTCAAGTAAAAAAATCCTTTGAAAATATACTGCTAATAATAGACTGCTTTCATCTTAATCTAAACATGGAGATATAGAAACATTTTTTTTTACATAAGAGAGCTGAAGAAAGACAATCAGACATTTCTTAACTACAAAACTTTTTTTATCAACAAAATCAAAGTGTGCTGAGTTATGTTTGGCAATGCACGCCAAAGTAAGCTTAAACCAGAGAAAGTTTAACTTAACACAGAATATTCTGTTCTGCCATTAACAGGCAGTTAGCAAGTGCACGCGAGTGTAGTTCATTGTGAGTCATTATGAGAGGTGCAATGACGCAGATTGTGAATATGTAACAAAATCATCTCATCCTGCTTGTTTCATTTTTTTTTTTTAAATACCCCTTAATTTAGTTATGATCCAATCCAATTAAATAACACCTTAAAGCTTGTTTTCTAACAGATCCAAGCTCTTTCATGTGGGATTCAAAAGGATCTTTTCACAAACAGGTGTGTGTTCTGTGTACCTGATGAGGGCGGGCTGTCCCACAGTGGAGCCGCAGCTCAGCTGGATCGTAGTCTTTCGCCTTCACGCCGTTTCCACACACATCGTCTCCCGCTGAGTAACTCACTGAGATCTTTCCATCTGCAGAGGTGGTTTGAGATTATGATCAGGACATTTTCTGATATACACAAAAAAACACAGCTATAAGAAGATTAACGAGTAATACCAAAACAGCACCTACAGGTAGAGGTAAAAGCTTACGAAGCTAGGAAAGGTAGGTAAGGTAAGACCTGTAAAGGTTAAGTATATAGGCTTTTTGCACTACTTTGTATTTTATTATATATGTTACATTGTTGGAGGAGCTCAGGTCAGAAGAATGTCATTGCCATTTCTACACTGTAGTTATGTGCATATGACAATAGAACTTTTGAATCTTGAATCTATAGTAATTTAAAGGTCACCTATCGTGCTATGTTTAGGCAACAGCATAGGTCTCAGATATATACAGATATATACAAAACATGTCTATGAAGTGTTTTGCTCAAAATACCAAACAGATCACCTATTCTAGCCATGCCTCATATCCCTCTGTTTCACTTCCTGTTTCAAAAGTGCTGATTTGGGTATAAAGCTTTAAAAAAGGAGGGGTCTGAGCTCATGCGGGACCCGGCAGCTACTGTCTAAACTAAATGCTGCCGTGATGAAACGCCATATCATGGATTATCAAGGATTGTCTCTGAAACAGTTTGGAGCTCAAAGGCTTTCTCTCTTGCCGGTTATACCACAAGGGGAGTTCCTTTTTACTTCCTGCTTCTTCACACACATGCTCTCCAGTACAGGTTAGCTCTGAGTGTTAGCGATGCTAATGTAAACACCGACCATATTACGTCCAAAACAGTCGGGCATTGTTTCTGATAGCAACGTTTCTGATTGGGCCGTGGGTCCACATTTCAGATATTACGTCATATCGGACGCAAATCTGGATCAGCTCCGTTGTTCCCCGTTTTTAGAGATTTGGGTACGGAGGAAAAGAGAGAGGGTTTTATTTTCTGACGCTGCGTGAGTTCCCTGACACACCGGGGACACATGTTTATGTATAAAAAGACATCACAAAGTGCATTTTGCATGATAGGTCCCCTTTAAAACTAACTGAAACAAAAATAAAAAACTTCGATTAAATATGTTCAATATTTTCAATCCTTTACATTTGTATTGCCAAAATTAGTAATTGATTTGTGGATCTTTTACAGATATTCCCTTATGACCTCAGTTACCCACCAGTGTAGGTCATCTGCTGGGTGTAAACCTTCCCCAGAGTGTGTGTGGCTCCTGCTGCGGAGCGCCGGCACACAGTGGCTCCTTCAGGACATCCTGTGAGCCCGCCGTGGATCCCCTGACACAGGTTGATGTAGTACCTGAGGAACACAAAGGAGAGAGGTACGGTAAGTTTATTTATATAGCACATTTTATTATATAGCAAGTCAAAGTGCTTTACATTGTCATTAACACTTAATAAGAAGACAACAGAAAGGAACACAATAAATAAACATAATGGAATAACAGGTTCATAAAAACCATGCATAAAAGACAACATTGTAAATACAGTAGGTGCTAAAACAAGTTAAAAGACTTCTGGGTAGTTATGTGAGTTACAAGTGATTTTCATTTGGGAGCAGTTGGGTTAAACACGATAACAAAGGGTTTAATACAATAAAAAATGTAGGCGAATTATCACAGATGAGTGAGGGGGTACTTATAGAATGGCGACCAGCTCAAGGGGTACACGAGACACAAAAGGATGGGAACCACTCTAAACTAATGTAATCTTGTGAGATCAGACGTACGAGTCTCCGTGGTGGCTGAACCTCCAGGGCTCGGTGAGGGAGGAGAGGGTCCGCAGGTCGAAGGTTTTGATGCTGGCTGACCAGCTTACACTCCATCTTCACGGGAGGACACACAGCGCTGGTGCGCCACTGGAAGGTGGCCGAACATCCCGCCGTCTCTGAGAGCAGCTTAGGAGAGCCGTGGCCCTCCGACTGATCGCAGCTGAACAGGATGGAGGACTGGCGCTTTCCAGAGGCTGCAGGATTCAAAGATTCAAAGGGTTTTATTGTCATGTGCACAAAGCTACAGAGTAGAGATGGCAATGCAATTCTTCTGATCTCAGCTCCTCCAACAATGCAAACATATATAAAATACAAAAGAAAAAAGTAGTGCAAAAAGTTACTAGAATATGATGTGTACAAGAACAGAATATTAAATTAAATAATGTAAATTAAATACGGTTTATTGCGGTGATAACTATTTATATAAATTCGTTTATTGCAAAATGACAAACAGGAATGTTTATCGGGGCGCTTAGCAGAGCTCAGGTGTTTAGCAGAACATGTTACTCAGAAAGGAGAGAAGGAATGGGGATTTTAATACAATGCAACTCAAAAAAGCATTTTGAGAAGGTTTAAACAAATGAGAAAAAGTTGAGGTTTTCTAATTTAGTATCATAAATGAGCACAGATTTCATTTAAGTTAAAACAACTATTGACATTTTCAAATGTGCTACCTGCTCTGTTAAACTCTTGTGACTAACTGAATCACATCTTGAGACCTAAACCTCAAAAGTAAGTGATTCGTTGGATTATTAAAAGGATAAGTGGACTAGTCGATTAAACGTTGCTACCCTTGCCAGATGGGAAGAAGTACTAGTGGGTTTAAGCCCTTTCTTGCAGTGAAATGTCATGTCTTCTTACTCAATGTTCATCAGCTACCAACAACGCCCATTTAAAAGGGCTCTTATAAGACACACCATGTGTTTTGGAAAATGCTTAATTAAAGATTAAATCTGTTTTCTGAGTTTTTTCTTACATAAAGACGAGTCAAGAATATAAGATAAATAAATGAAACCGAAATGAGCGGTCACCTGCGTTGCAGATCCCCCACTTCTCGTCCGTGTCGTAGTTGGCTGTCGTTGCGCACCACATCCTGCCGTCAGACCGTCCATCTTTGGTGCACTCGGTGGTACGACTTCTTCAGGAAGGTGAAGGGAACAAACACAACGTCGCCATCATCTGTCACTACAAAACACACAAACAATTAAAATACTTAAAAAAAATACAAATACTTTAAAAAAATACTTTATCTTTAAAAGAAAGGTCCAAAGCCAGATTCTAGTCGTTTTAATAAAAAACAGACGTACCTGGTGGGCATGGATCCCCCCTCCGTACTGCATCAGCACAGCCTCCTCATCGTGTTTGAAGTCCATCGTCATGGCCTTGCTGATCCCAAAAGACGAGGCGGACTTCTCTGAACCAGAACCAGACACCCTGCAGACGGCACTCTGCTTACAGGCCGGCTCTGTCACTGAGCCGCAGACGTTGATGTGGTAAATGCTGGAGTTCACAGGTACCTGACATACAGAGAATTCACTTTACTACCTTATCATATCTATAGACGTACACCTAAAAGCAATACGAGGGAACACACGTGAATAACTGGAGTTCATTTTGTCTGACTTTACCTTCACGGCAGGGTTTCCGCTAGGATTATTTCTTGCCGGTGAAATAATTTATTTTACCGGCCAAATTTGAAACTTACCGGTCATGTTTCAATAATAATAATTGAGTAGCAGAGTTTCCGTTAGCAAGTAATTACCGGACGATGACCGGATATGCTGATGTTTAAAAGTCAGTTAATGGGGCTTCAGTTTATAATCGTAACAGATCGAAAAGTTCAGATTCATTTTTCAAAAAATGCTTCTGTTTTGAATTTACCGGGTTTTAATAAATGTTACCAGCTAAAAAACGGTAATTACCGGCTAACGGATACCCTGCTTCACGGATAGAAAATATGTTATCTACAATAAAAGTATGAACTGAAGGCTTATAAGGGCAATTTAAAGTAAATGGGGGAGGGGAGTAATATTACAACATGTAAACTCAGAATTTTCATAAACTTAATGTTGCTTAAAAAAATTATATATAAAAAAAAATATTGTTTGGGATTACAAATGTAAAAACTGACTATTTTAGTGAAAATAATTCAAATCTACTCAGAGATTATAAACTCATACAATTGAAAGAGAAAACTCAGAACCCTCTAATAATCTAAGATAAAGAATATATTCATGTACAGCTCAAGTCAGATATATTTTCTGTGAATAGTCACATCGATGAGGCTCACCTGGACTTGGCCAGAGAGGGTGGAGAGGTCGAAGGTGAACTGCAGCTGGGAGTCAGTGAGCTGGCAGCCGCTGGTGTTGGTGTGGGTGGTGTCCGAACACACCAGAGGGGGTCGCCCACATCGAACAGATTACACACACTGCTGCAGCCTCAGCATCTGAGGAGAGCCCTGGATGAAGATATAACAGGTATAGGTATGGAAGTTAAGAAATGCATTGAAATTGTTAAAAACATCGTCAGAGAAGCAAAAAGACCTGTGGCATGTGTAGGTAATATCATCTTCTGTTAAAGGATTATAAATACAACATTTTGATAATGAATGGAAACGTTGATAATAAAGCCAAAATATTGAGATTAAAAACAAAATGTTTTAAATAAAAAAAACTGGAATAATGAGAATAAGTCTACATTTTTAGAATTAAGTCGTACTACTACTATTTCAAAAATAATGTAAAAATGTAAAAAATGAATGACTTGAGAATAATTTAATCAAAGTGTTTCTGAAAGTTTAACACAAAAATAGTTTGGAGAGCCCTGGATAAAGATATAAAAGGATAGGTATGTAAGTTAAGAAATGCATTAAGATTGTTTTTTAAAAAATCGTATAAAAGAAAAGAAAAAGTGGATTTTGCTCAAATTTTAAGTTTTGCTCAAATTAAAAAAAAAAATCTTCCAAATGCCAAATATTTAAATAATCTCCCTCCTCTCTCACTCCCCCCCCTTTCTTCCTGTCCCCCCAGTGTCAGACTGACCAGCTCCAGTCCCTCTGGCAGGTGAAGATGATGGTGGAGGTGTAGTTCTGAGCATGGTCAGCTGCACACTGCGTGGAGCTGCTGTACGTGATGGACACTTCTCCTGAAGCGCTGTTGATCTCAGGACCGCTGGTCGTACCGCCCGATGTCCTTCAGGAGACAGACAGAGAGCGGTTAACCGAGAGGAGAGGAAAAAGGAAATGTTAGTGAAAGAGGACAGGAAAGAAACACATCACACATTGAGAGAGAGGACAAGAAGTGAGGATCATTAGATTCTAATTGAGATTTACTGCGTGACATAAACACATTTTTATTATGCAGAAGTCAATAAGAAAGTTCTCATTTTTAGAAATAAATATTGCCACAACTGATATCTAGAAATACCTGAAGTCGAATTAGAGTCAAATATTTGTCACGGTTTCTTGTAGCCCCTTAAGTAAAAAGATCTACCCAAACTGTATGCAAGATTAAAAAAAGAAAACTAATAAGATAAGATAATATAAGAACTACTTTATTGATCCCAATTTGGGAAATGTTTGTGTTGCAGCAGCATAAAAAAGACATGGCCTGAAGAACAGCTGAACTTGCAGACCCTCCATATCATATTTAAAAACGCAAAAAGTGGTCTATTTGTGCCTCTCGATGGTATGTAGGGTACAGCAGCGTTTCCGCAGGGGGGCGTCTTGCCTCATTGTCCAACAAAAAAATAAAAAATTCGAGAGAAGATCGAGTTTTTATCGCTTGAAATGACGAAAGGACCTCTGTTGGAGGGGCAAAGGAGTCTGGTGGGATTCTTTTCGCCGCCAGCAAAGCGTGTTCCTGTGACGGAAAGTGTACTGCCGGCGAGCCTTGACGGGGGGGTGCTAGTGGAGCACGTGCGTGAACTGCGAGCGCCGTCTCAGCCCTGGTCTGGCGGAAACACTGAGGTACAGTATAGTTGTGTTTGTGAGTGTCTCACCACAGGGGGTCCATTATCAGGATCTGAGCAGACGGCCGCTCCGGGGGGGCAGGTGACCCCGGGGATCGGGTTCAGAGGCTGACAGATGTTGATGTAGAAGTCTGGAGATCCGTCGTCTTGGCCCACGGTGTCATCTGAAAGGACAGAATTGGGAGAGAGGGAACATGGAACCAGTAAGTCAACTCCCTTATTTAAAGACAGCGTGGAAGAATCACGAGACAAGAGATTTGAAAAGATATATAAAAAAGGGGTTAAAAGGTTAAAGATCAGCACATAGAAGTCTCAGATCCAAAGACATGGATTTGGGGGTCGTAAATGCAGACCAGTTACCATTACTGTAGAAAACATATTCGCCTTTTCATCAATCTGCTGAGCAACTTAATCAATGCAACGTAACAATTCGCTTGCTATCGATTCTGCAAACACAGTACAGTTTGCTTAAGGTAGATGAGTGTGAAGCTTTCAATTGACTGTCTTTGACACCGCTAGCAAACCCCTTGTTGCTATATTATCCATCCATCCATCTTCTCCCGCTTATCCGTGGTCGGGTCTCGGGGGTAGCAGTTCCAGCAGAGAGCCCCTGGCCACATCAACCAGCTCTGACTGGGGGGTCCCAAGGCGCTCCCAGGCCAGCGAAGAGATATAATCCCTCCACCTGGTCCTAGGTCTACCCCTTGGTCTCCTCCCAGCTGGACGTGCCTGGAACACCTCCCTAGGGAGGCGCCCAGGTGGCATCCTAACTAGGTGCCCGAACCACCTCAACTGGCTCCTTTCGACGCGAAGGAGGAGCGGCTCAAACTCCGAGTCCCTCCCTGATGACCGAACTTCTCACCTTATCCCTAAGGGAGACCACCAGCCCACCCTGCGGAGAAAACCCATCTCGGCCGCTTGTATCCGCAATCTCGTTCTTTCGGTCATGACCCATCCTTCATGACCATAGGTGAAGGTAGGAACAAAAATGGCCCGGTAGACAGAGAGCTTTGGCCTTCTGGCTCAGCTCCCTTTTCGTCACAAACGGTGCGGTAAAGCGACTGCAGTACCACTACCCGCTGCTCCGATTCTCCGGCCCATCTCACGCTCCATTGTTCCACTCACTCGAGAACAATATTATATTTTCCTGTAAAGACTGTGTTTTCTTCGACGGAGGAACCTCTAGAAGCTTCCAACAGCACTCAGCCTCTAACAATGGTCCGAGAGGTCGCTCTCCACGTCTCTGTATAGAAGCAGCGAAGGTCAACAGTCTCAGAGGAGAGCGACTCGCATGCATTTACCATGAACAAAAAGCCGAGAGAAAGTTGCATAACTGAACAGAGTGTGACTTCTTTCTCTGCCAGCGAAGCCATTTTCTCCATTATATATCTTCACATAGTCGTTTTCTCACAGTGATGAAAACCTTGGGCCCACCGACCTGGTTGCTGTGTAGTATCCGCTGACATGAATGAAGAGGAGTCAGGTCGATAAGAGCGGAGCCGTTCTGGACTGAACACTTTACCTGGAAGATGAAAATATTTGTCAGTGCTACATTCGTGTAGAGAACAGTAAAAGCTTGTATGCCTCACACAGCCAGACTTAAACAGAAGAATGGAACAATTTGTATTCCACACAATGGCAGCAGGAAGACTATTTTCTTCTTCTTGAACAATCCCACGCCTTCGACAGCGCCACTTAATTGAACGCTGCATTCCTTTGATCATCTTGAGAAGCTGATTATAGTCCACCTGCACACACTGTACACTCAACAGAAATGCAATTTTCCCGGTGAATTATCCAATTTAATAAATTAAAAGGATGAACTTCTTTACAGTATCTCATCATTCTGTTGGGTTTGATGTCATAACTTCACATACATTTTATATTTCATTTACCGATGAAAGGACTTCAAGATATTTCTTTGCTTTGTTGAATAAGAATGGATTAACCGGAAGTTGAATTACTTGTGAAAAAAACGATTAAGTGGCTACTACTTTAAAGAGTCCTCTCCGTGCTGAATGTTCAGGTGTATATCAGTATGTAAGTGGTCTCTACTTTAAAAGAGTGCCTCTCCTGCTGATGTCAGGTGTAGATCAGTATGTAGTGTCTCGACGTTTACAAAGAGTCCTCCTCCTGCTGATGTTCAGGGTATATCAAGTATGTAGTGTCTCTACTTTAAAAGAGTCCTCTGCCTGCTTGATTCAGGTGTAATATCAGTACTATGTAGTGTCTCTACTTTGAAAGAGTCCTCTCCTGCTGATGTCTCCAGGTGTATCATCAGTATTGTCTGGCCTCTACTTTAAAGAGGCCTCTCCTGCTGATGTTCAGGTTCATATCAGTAAACTATGTAGTCTCTCTACTTTAAAGAGTCCTCTCCTGCTGATGTTCAGGTGTATATCAGTATGTAGTGTCTCTACTTTAAAGAGTCCTCTCCTGCTGATGTTCAGGTGTAATCAGTACTATGTAGTGTCTACTTTAAAGAGTCCTCTCTGCTGATGTTCAGGTGTATATCAGTATGTAGTGTCTCTACTTTAAAGAGTCCTCTCCTGCTGATGTTCAGGTGTATATCAGTATATAGTGCCTCTACTTTAAAGAGTCCTCTCCTGCTGATGTTCAGGTTCATATCAGTACTATGTAGTCTCTCTACTTTAAAGAGTCCTCTCCTGCTGATGTTCAGGTGTATATCAGTATGGAGTGTCTCTACTTTAAAGAGTCCTCTCCTGCTGATGTTCAGGTGTATATCAGTATGTAGTGTCTCTACTTTAAAGAGTCCTCTCCTGCTGATGTTCAGGTGTATATCAGTATGGAGTGTCTATACTTTAAAGAGTCCTCTCCTGCTGATGTTCAGGTGTATTTCAGTATGTAGTGTCTCTACTTTAAAGAGTCCTCTCCTGCTGATGTTCAGGTGTATATCAGTATGTAGTGTCTCTACTTTAAAGAGTCCTCTCCTGCTGATGTTCAGGTGTATCAGTATGTAGTGTCTCTACTTTAAGAGTCCTCTCTGCTGATGTTCAGGTGTATATCAGTATGTAGTGTCTCTACTTTAAAGAGTCCTCTCCTGCTGATATTCAGGTGTATATCAGTATGTAGTGTCTCTACTTTAAAGAGTCCTCTCCTGCTGATGTTCAGGTGTATATCAGTCTGTAGTGTCTCTACTTTAAAGAGTCCTCTTTGCTGTAACACTTTACATTTCCCCCGCCGTGAGACGAATAAAGGTTTTCTGATTCTTTGCACAGACAAATACACAAAGCAACTTACTGGCTGTTCGCAGACCAGGGGGGTGTGTGGAAAGAGAAGAAGTGTGTGCAAGTC